TATGCTCCAAAACACTGAAAAACCCACAACTCCATTTGCGTACAAGGAATGAACTTGTTTTTATAAGTATGCCATTTGTAAAAGAGTAATGTTTTCTTTTATAAAAGATTAACCTAAAATATAGCCACTGAATAGCATAAACAGTTAAGAATTTTATTGAGGCAATTTTCCAGGTGTGTGGTTACATTCCCAAACATTTTGTTTTTAAGGTAAGGGGAAGGTAATGTTTCTGGACATTATTTTAAGCTAGCAAAATTATGCCACATTTGCTGTAAGTGCATAACAAGCTTATTCTTTTGAGGTGTTTTTTCGTATAACTCTTATAAAAGAAAATATAAAATTGCCTTTCATTAAAACCCCTTTTAAAAAAAAATAATGGTAAGATATACATAACTTAAGTGTGCGGTTCAGTGGCGTTAGTACATTCTCAGTATCGTGCCACCAATCTCCAGAGCTCTCATCCTGCAGCACTGGAACTGTATATCCCCTTACTGCCCACTCCCCGCCTCTCCCCAGCCCCTGGCAGCCGCCATTCTACTTTCTGTCTCTATGAATTTGAATATTCAGTGTGCCTCATATAGGAGAATCCTACATCATTTGACTTCTTGTGATGGGCTGGTAAAACGCTTTTTAAAATAATAGTTATGCACTTGGAGACTTTAGAATGATCATGTACCTACATGTAGAGCACAGTAATACGCCTTCTGGGTGCCAGAAGCCTATGGAAGTACAGGATCCATCCATCTTTGCCCTTTCTGTGCAAGCACCCAAACAGCTGAGACACACTTTCCAGTCTGACACAAGAATAACATGAGCAAAGATTTTAGCACATTAGATAGATAGGTAGGTAGGTAGATAGATATAGATATAGATATATGTACATATGAAAATAGCAAGTCTATTGTTGCTTGTAGTAATTTATATTTGATAAGAATCTCAGAATATTGGAACTAGAAAGGGATGTTAGAATCATCCAGTCCAACCAAACAGAGACATACAGGCAAAGTGACTTACTGAAGGTCAATCACAAAGAAAACAAGTTTTCTTAATTCCGTGTACTCCCCTCATATGAAATGAACATTCTTAAGGTATAGCTAATTATGTTCTTGAATTTGAGACCAACATTTATAGAAAAAATAAGTAAAAAACTAATGTTTAATTATATAACAAATAATGAATAACAGGAAAAGTTACGCCTGCCCTTAATTTTTGCATTAAGGATTGGTTTACTAGGGATATATACACCATTGTTTCACTAAAGCAAAAGTCTGTTTCAGGGGACTTCTGCTATACTGAATCCTAGCATGGGATTTAATTCTATATTAGATTTTTCTTGCACTGCAGCTCAGTGTATAATAAAACATAGAACTGATACATCGCATTTTGTATAAGCATTTTTAAGTGTGTCATTGTATGAATATATGAATAATTTCTTCTAGGATTGGTGACACCATCCCCTTAAGAGTCAGCACCCAGGGAAAATCACAACAGTCATTCTCCTTATTTACATAATTGTTTAAAAAATCCACACACTTCAGTTCTGTTTATTTATAAACTATGTGTACAAACTACTATACTGTTATAGTATGCATTAAAAGTTTACACAAAATATACATTTTTTTAAAAAGATATCAAAGGGCCGGCCGAGTGGCTCAATTGGTTAAGAGCTCGTTCAAGAGTTTGAGCTCTGAGCAACAGCGGTTCGAGTCCCGGCCCGAGCTGAGCAGCCGCTGAGCTGCCAACAGGTGGCAGGATGGCTCAGCTTAAAAAAATATATATATATATATATATATATATATATATATATATATATATATATATATATATATATATATATATATATATATATGTCAAAAATAAATATATATATATTTTTCTTTCTATACCTAGTAGATCATTTTATACACATCTTTCCTTTAGAAATAAAAGGATATTAGGGATATTAATAATGATCATCATTTACATAATTTAATGGTACTCTAGCCTGTTGTTACTGAGAGTTAGAACAGTATAAAATGAATTAATCCAGTACAATAGGATGTATTAAAGTACTTTCATAAAGGTCTTTGGAATGATAACTTTAAGAAGCTGTATAAAAATGTAATATCAAGTCGATCAACACTTTTTTGGCATCTGCAAATGAGAGACAATATCTTCCTACCGAGAAGGAATTTATAGTCAGAAGGCATTTTATTTAGATGTGTATGTAAGTCCTGTGTGTACATGTAAAGATAACTGATAAATCAAGCGGGAATATAAGAAGCGTGTTATAGAGAATGGAGACATTCATGGAGAGAAGCAGTCACTTCAAGCCTGTGGGAGTCAGCAAGGGCTTCAAGGATGAGTAGCTATTTTTTTGTATTATTTTAGTCTGAGTCTTATGATTTGAATAGGCAGAAAGCACAGAAGATATTTAGAAGACAGTGAGCTGATTGATTTTATTGAAGCAGATGGTTTTTGTGAAGGAAATTAATAGAAGGAAAGCTAAAGTAGGATTGATTCTTTTGAGGAGGATACTATTCTTACTTAGGCGAAGCAAATTGGACTTTTTCTGTTTGCAGTGGGTAAACTGCTAAGCAGAAGTGTGATATAATCAGAGTGGTCATAATGTAATCAGAATACTGACCTTTTGGCAATGTAGAATACGTTTTGGTGGAGAGAGACCAGTTGGCAAGCTATTATACAATTCTTAGTAAGAATTAACGTTGGAGTGCCAGGCACTGTTCTGAGTACTCCTCAAGTGTTAAACTCTATGAGATAAGCACTATTATTATCCCCCACTTTACAAATGAGGAAGCTGAGGCACAGAGCAGTTCTCTCCTCTAGCTCCTGCCGTAGATAATTTGGCTCTAACTAGACTTCGGGCTCTGGATAGAAATGAGGGTCACGTCCATGAAAGACTGGAAACCAACATGAATAGAACTCAGATTGACGGGGGGTGGGGCAGGAGAGAAGTGTCAAAGATGAGCTGAGCGAATTCAGAAATGGGTTAAATCAAAATAGAGAAGTCAAGTTTTACTTACAGAAATGTATCCTAAAGATAAAATCATAGAGAAAAAAACAGAACAAATTTATTTTTTAAAGTTACAAGATATTGATTACCATGTTTATGAGAGGGGGGAAAAAAACTTGAAGGTTATTACCAAAATGTTAATGATTTATAAGTTTATTAGTGTTTTCTGGGTTTTCTTCGGTAAACATATTGCTTTTATTATAATAATTTACTTATTTCTAAAAGAAGCCTGCTAGTTTGGGAAAAAGATTATTTTAGAGTTTCCTTACTAATTCATTCATTCACTCCTCAAGTATAATATTTATTTCAGTGCTTACAACATGCTGAGCACAATATGCCAAACCTGATGTGATTAGATGTTTGATAAAGAAGAATGTGTAGAAGTTCACTTTCTTCCAGAAGTGTTCAGTCTAGCAGGAAGATAGGCGTGCAAACAAATAATTCCAGTGTAAGATGACATAAAACATGTTCAAGGCATAGCCAGCAATTTGGGGAAAGCCTTCTAGATATGTTTGTCTGAATCTGGGAAGGTGTAACATTTAAGATGTTGTTTTCGCTAAGCCTTAAAATTTGCCAGGTTGACAGGTAAGCGGAAAGAAGGCATTTGTTTCACTAGAGGGAGCAGCAGCAACATGGTAGGTGGTGGCACAACATCCAGATGCAGACACCCAGCTTCAGTTAGAAGCAGGAGGGAGCGCTTCAGGCAGGAGTCACCTGAGCAGAGGAGGTGCCTGTGGCCTTGAAGGTGACTGACACCTGCAGAGTAGAATATCTTGAAGAAAGCCTTTTTAAGCCATAAGAGAAGGAAGAAAATGCCAATGAAGGACCTAGAGAAGTGGGAAGAGTCAGAATATTACGAAGTGGAGGCCTAAGAAAGCAGAGATGTGAATGGGCAGTGGTGTCCACTGCTGCAGATGAACACGGCCACTTTGTGGTGTACGTGTTTCCAGTCTTTGTTCTGTGTTTTGTTGTTATTTACAATTATATCATAGTCTTTACATATATTTAACATTTTGGGGGAGGGAGATTGTTTGGTTTGATTTTTAGCTTTGGGGCATTTAGGTGTTTTCCTCAACTCTAAGGAAACAAATCAACCTGTAAAGAATTCAGGAGAATAGCTTATGAAAAAATGGATTCAAGTGTAAAATATATGTAAAATATTCAGGAAGTTAGCAGCGGGCTTACTGGACTGAAACAAAGATGAACTTGATCCATCTTTGTATTCTAAGCACCTTGACCAGTGACCAGTGTTGAATGAAGGAAGAAAGGAAGGAATGAAATTAAGCAATAGAGTAGAGACACTAGGATGAATTCTCAGGTTTGTTATGGTAGTGAAAACTTATTTATGCTTATGTGGGTATAAGGTACAAATTATAGTTTGATCAGCCTTGGGAAATAGGAGGGAGGGATGCCCTTTCCTCTGGAGACTGAGGACAAGAAGGCACAGGATCTGTGCAGATGTTTTCAAGATGGGGAAGAAAAGGAACCTGGGCCCCAGAAGCCTTCATCTCAGTACAGCAGCCGATGCTGCGTCTGCTAAGAGGGAGATGATGAGGAGGTGTCATTACAGGCCTAAGGAGAGTGAAGGCAAACTCTGAAATGTTCCTTTTGAGGAGGAGGACAGGAAGAGCAGCGAGAGGTAAGCAAAGGACCATTGAGCAGCAGTGAGGACCTCGCTGGAGGCCGACAGGATGGCCATAGAGGTTAGGAGCGGCTCGTGGACTCATTCCCGCACAGTGCTGGTGGCTTGGATTGTAAGAATTTGGATGGAAGACTACTTTTTTCACAGAATACACTGTTTTTATAGAGTCTTAAGGTTGAAAGATGTATTTAAGTTCAATTCTTGATTAATAGAAAACAAAAATAGTAATTCTAACGTTTATGTGTAATTAGATCACTGAAATGAAGAATAAGCATTTATTATGAGCATTGTTTCATAAACCATACTAACCTCGTCCTTCCATTTTTAACAGTAACGGTGACTCACCTTCATTGATGAAAGTTAGTGGTGGTATCTTGAAAGGGCTCTTGGTGGGAGAAGTGGCCAGATCGGGTGGTGGCATGACATCTCTGGGATAGCCGGGATCCCTCTGGATCTCGTTGCCCCCCAGCAGACCAGGGGTGTAGTGGTGACTGGTAGGGATGTGGTGTGGCACTACCTGGACAAGAGGGGGAGACGCCTGGGGGTCCTGTCGGGAAAAGAGCCTCATGCACTGCTCTTCCAGCAAGGTGATCGTCACGGACTGGTTATTGACCAGGTCGGTCAGGGATGCGTATTTCACCTCCAGGTCCCGGTACCGTGTGGCCATCCTCAGCATTTCTGTGGTGATGTTGAGGACTTTATTTTCCAGCTGGGAAAGCTCCAGCGAATTGTCCCTCTTGCGGATAATCTCGTGTAGCAGTTGCATGTAGAGTTGGGTGACACGCGAGTTCATATTGCGGCTTTCCTTCCGCAGCAGCTTGACCTCGTTGACAATGTTCCCGTCCACGTCCACCACCAGCTGCAGGACGTCTATCTCCCGCTTCTGCTTGGCGAGCACGTCCCTGAGGTTCTCCAGGTCCATCCTGGTGATCATGTCTTTGATGGCACCTGCATCTTGCCCTTTGGTGTTGACACAGATCGGCCCCGTTATTTTCTGTTCAGGCACCAGGAACGTGTATGCGCATTTCTTCACTTCCTCTTTACCATCTGTGGCCCGCGCGTATCTCCTCTGGGCTGGCTTTTTTATTTTGAACTGTCCTCCTCTGCAGGGTCCAGGGCCCATCAGTAGGAAGAGAAGCACACTCAGAGTCCAGATAACCGCCTTCATGTTGAAAGGAGGTTGTATGACGTCTTTTTAGAAACAAACCAGTGAAGGGCAAAAGTAAAGAGAATTAATATTAATCTACTTTTAAAGTCAGTAGTAGAAAAAAGTATCTAAGGGGAAAATAGTATCTGTTGACGTTAGTAAGTTGGGCCAGAATTAACGTTACTGATTTCTTAAATTCAATATCATGGTGCCTTCACATCTATTGAGTTGTTGGAAAAGTCATGATGCATTTTTGCAACGAAAAACATAGAAAAAATACATCGTGACTTTTCCGACAACCCAATATATGTTTAAAAACTGGGTTTCCGAGGCTAGCTGTCTGGCTGCCACCTTGCTGCTGTTTGTTCCCTGGCCCAAGGGGCAGACTGGTGAGTGGCTGTCTGTGCAGGGCGTGCTATCAGGTGCTCTTGGGGCTTTTGAGACCCTAATAAGACTCTTCTTACCTTCCAGAAGCTCACTTGCTATCTTAAAATTCTAACATGGTATATATATGGTGTTTGTAAGGCATTAAGTAAAACATTATTCCCTAACTAGTGTTAAAGTTACTAGGTGACTTTACTATTTAATGGTTTGTATTGTGCATTTTCATTTAAAGTAGCCCTCTCAATAAACACCTTTTTTGTCTATCAAATTAAAGAAACATTTTAAGACAAATCTGAAACAGGAAAGTTTTAGCATCCTGCCCTTTTTTGTAGCCTGCCCTTTTGGGATTGGCGACAAGTTTAAGAGTGGTAGAATGCCTGTTGTCATTACTGTGGGTAATTGTGTTTCCTAAACCATATTATATGTGCTCTAAGCTTATATGTGATTCAGCAGGTTCATTCTTCTAACAGGTGCTACTGAACTGTATTTTAGTAAAATGTCAGTAATTTTCTATGATCATTACCAAGGAAAGAAACTATCTATAATTGAATATGATTGTTGAAAAGCCTTAGAGACCGTATCTTTCGTGGACTCTGAACCGTGTGCAGGTAAGGCCAGGCCACCCGAAGAAGCACTAGTAGAACCAGGTCTAGAATTCAGGTTCCCTGGCTCTTCAGTGTGTGTGTGTAGCAGTGGCCCCGACGCTGACATGTGTGCTTAGCATGCGTCATTTTCGCTGTGGCAGATGAGAACTACTTGTCCTCTGTCGCACAGTTTCTACAGAAACAGTGGAACTAGGTCTGAACCAAAGCTGCTTCCTTTCTCTCTAGTTACCTCCAAAAGAGTAGTGGCAGTAGAATGGCTGAGGTGTGTCACTCTGTCAGGTTCATTAGCAGGCTGCTGTTCCCACTCATAGAAACTTGATTTCTATCTGCTGTTTTTGAAGAATGGCCGTGAATGTACTAAGACAGAGCCTTTCTATCCCATTTCTCTGAAGTACCTGTGTTCTGATTGGAGAAGGCAGGTCCCACCTTGTTAGGCCTGCTGTCAGTAGTAGCACCTCTTATTGCATGCTCCTTAAATGGCGTTGTTTGAAGCCCTGAACATATATTAAAGCCTGTGTTTCTCACTACAACCCTCTGAGGTAAAGTATGATCCTCATTTTCAGAGGAAGAAACTGGCAGCCAGAAGTTAAGTGCCTCACCCAGAGACACACAGCTTCTAAGAAATGGAGCCAGAATTCGAACCCAGAGGGAAAACTCCAGGGTTCATATTTTCCATTAACCACCACATCATGTGCAACGTATTATATTCTCTCATCTTTTCTGTCACCAACACGATAACAATCCCTTATAGTTGTGTGTACTTAGCACGTGTTAACCATTTGCATTAACAACAACATGTGAAGTAAATGCATGCAATTTTGCAAAGGAGTGAAGTCCTGGAGAAGCTAAAACACTCAAATGGGACTCAAATCTCCTACTTGTAACTTTTCTAGACCTGTGATTTTTATCCTGGTCATGTCATAACTACAGAGGAGTCTTAACTTTGTGTTTCTTGTTTTTCACAAAATGGAGTGATAATGAAAATAAAGAATGGATGGAGTGTGGAGAATTACTGTTCTTGTACTAAATAATCAAGACCCGGAAGGATGAGTAAAATTTCCATATTTAGATGAAAGGCCTTCTGTTGCTGACTGATAGCCAGAAGCACTCTTGGATAAGTACTTTTAGTTTTTTGTTTTCATGCTTTGCCTTCTGACGTCAGTAGAAATTTTAGACCTTAAGAGTCATCTATATGTTTTATTTAAAGAAGGACTTTAACTACCTAGAGTTAGCTACACCGAAAAAGGAAAAAAAAAAACCGCAATAAAAGACTTCTCATTATATTTGCAGATTCATAGACTTTAGATATGGTTTTATTTAAAAACTGAGGACAGCAAACTAGAAGCCATCAGTCTCCTCTGTTAATTCACAGCATTTCCTCTACACAGTTAACTTACCTTGTGTTCAAATCCACTTATTTCACTTTCATAATAGAATGGAAACTTAGATCACGACGTTATTTTATTTTAATCATTTACTATAAAATAAGCTACCAAAACAAGGAAAATTCAGAAAATATTGTGAAACTTCAAAACAAGTAGAATGTTATAAAAACATTCTGTTTGAAAGCTTGCATTCCTACCAGACACACGGATTTTTCTGATGCAAAGAGCTTATAATCCAAGACTGTTACTGTGACTTTGCATCAGCATTGTCATGGAAGAACAAAAATGTGAAAATATGAATCTAAATTAAAATAGCAATGTCGTCTGCCTTGGCTCTTTGTGGGTTCCTATACGATGAAATCATGACACAAATCGCTGTCTACCATAAGAGAATTTGACCTAATATTTAAAGGAGGCAACTAAAAGTTTATTTTTTTTAGAATAAATAACAGTTCCCACCCGTATCCTTATACAAGTAATGACTTTGTTGTCCACCTAAAGCAGAGTAAGGAGCCACATTTCTTAAGTAGTAGACTAGCTACGTCATGAATAAAGAACTGGTTTTAAAAATACATTTACTGTTACATTTTCTGAAAACATTCTCTTATTTAATATTTTCCCACATATGTTCAGTTTTAAAAGTGAAAGATCCATAAATCTGTGTTACCTCATAAAACCTTTCTGTATATGTTACAATTTTCCTAGGTCCCAGGAGAATATTATAAATTAGTTACAGTATACTTAAGTTTAAATCTGTCTTTGCTTGGTTGTTTTTAGGGAAAAAAAAGTCTTCCCTGCTTTGGGTTCATTTTATTGATAGTTTTTCTCTTCATAGTTGCTACGTTGCCAGCTAGTAGAGAAGAAATAAGTCGGGATTTACTTCCTTTCAGATGGTAAATGCATAGAGGCACTTAGTTGGCTGTGTCATGCACTGAACACAGCGTGAGGCAATGAACTTAAATTTATGAAGCATTGAAGATGACTTAGATAAAGAACTGTGAATTACGTTCTGGGAAGAGACTGGTTATCTATGTGATTTGGGTTTTAGATTAAATGCTTCCCTAAGGCCTCAGTAAGAACTGACGTTTAACGAGGTCCTGCACTTTTCAAAGCAAACGACAGCAAAAAAGACATGACAAGTATTTCAGATCCAGTACTGCTTGGAAATTTTATCAGAATGTCTTGTAAAATATGTGTAAGAGAGATCCTCACAGTATTTGGAGTTAAGAATCTTGGAGGAAAGAATGTGAATATTAAAGTTGAAGAAATCTTAGCTTTACCATTATTTGTTTGTTGAAGATTCCTACAGTTAATATCTTAAATATTTAAAAGGACAGAGGATCCCCAAATCATAACAAATTTAAGTGTCTTTGGTGTTAAAGCTTACTATTAGTAACTAGTAATTTTCTTTTTAATAATTCTTATAATACAATTAAAGCCCCCAGATAAAATATTGAAAGAAACTTCTTGTGTGTTGTTACCAAAATTACTTCTATATAAAAAATATATATTTTTGGTCTTTTAATCATGTATTTAACAAATTGTATCTTCTGGGTTTTTATTTTCTATCGTTAATGCTGATTTACATAATATTTCTAGCACATTTTCTTTTTCTCCTCAATCCTAATCTGTAAGGTTTTAGGTTTTTTTATTTATCAATACTTTGCTTTTCAAGTAATTTCAATTACAGTAGTTTTCATTGCTGTTACCCAAGTTAAATTACTGTTACATATAAACCTGGGAAAATATTTAAAATTTTTAGTTTTAGCAAGAAATACATAGACTTGTATTTCTTTATAAGGATTTCTACTTAATATTTGGTTATACTATAACTGAGGTATTGTTGCAACGCCTTTCAGTTAATTTTATATCTTATTAGCTGTGTTTTTTAAGCTGTACTTTAAGCTATCTAATAGTATATATAAATCTTCAGCACACACATTATAGCTACATGAAGAGAGACTAATCATGTTTACAACTATTAATCACGTTTACAACTATTTAGGTTTGTACCCCTTAGGTTTTAATCACTGCTATAAACCTTATACATGAATCTTAAAGTTAAAAATTTCTATCTTGTGTCACTAAAATGCTTGTTTTCTGAAACCCAGCTTATTTGTATTACTCTGTAAGCCTAGACACTAAATATCATTAAATCAAACCTCAACTAATGCATTAATCATTATAAAGTATGTAATGACCAGTATTTACATAAAGTTGCAAAGCAAAGCCTTTTTTCAGATGAAATAAATTTCAGTATATTCCAAAATTCTTTTTTTAATAAGAGATTTTGAAACTTCTACCAATGTACAGTAATTATGCATTTTGACTTACATTAGAATTTTTTAATAACAATTAAAAGTATTAAAGTACCTTTTTGCATCTGTTGATTAAGCAAACCCAGAAACTTGCCGCTCTTATTCTTGCCTTTAAAAGTCAGTGTAGAAGTTTGTTCGTCTGTGACTTTAATGGCAACTGCATTTTTGTTTTGGACCGTTGTCTCCAAGCTGTAATAAGGAACTTCTTTTTCTTCTTACGACACTAATCAATTGAATTTGACAAGCCACCTATGTAATTTTAAGTAGTGGAGTGGAAGTTCTGGTCTGTGGGCTGTCTTTAATCCAGCAGAGAAAGCATTGTGGCTTTGCTCTGTCTGCCACATAGAGAAATGCGTAACCAGCTGCAGCTGACCCAGATTGTATATACAGTACCCTTGAATAGTGATTCCCTCTTTCTCAGTAGACTCAAGTTCAGCCCACATATTACGTCACCAGAAAAATTGCTGGAGACTGGTGGGGGGAGTCTCCTCCTTAGGATTTCCTCTCTGTAGCCTTAAATCGGGGTGGGGGGAGTGGGATCAGCAGGAGGTTGAATAGCTCTGAACAAGGAGGGACTGTGTGCAGGTTGAAGGAAGGGCACCATCTGGAAACAAACTATCATAGTTCAGCGGGCAATTATAAAACATTTTAGTCTGCTGGCCAGAGATCTTTTAAGTTGAATACTGAAAAAAAGAGTACTCAACTTCACTGAGAAGTAGTTGCAAGCTGATGAGTTTGTTTTTGTTACAAAGAACGAGTTAAACTACTTTGTCAGGAGGCAAATACAATGCTTTGTAGCCTAGCAGCAGCTTTAAATTTCAGAATGTCTTAATAGGAAAATTGATGATGTTATAATAAGTTACATTTTACCATACACTATTTCTTAAGATGTATATATGTGTGTGTGTATAAGATTCTTTCAAAAATGTTAACACTTTTTAAACTGAAACTGTGATGTTATATGATGTCGCTTCCTCTCATTCTACAACAGGACCCCTCTTGTCTGAATAAGGTTATTCTGACAGTTGATGTATTGTGATTTAAACACAAGCACAACTCTGGCCTGAGTGTGTGTGTGTGTGGTGGGGGGGAACGGACAGAATTCTGACCCCCCACTGGCTGTGTGAACTTAGACAAGTCGCTTTCACCTACCTCTGTCCCAGTTCTTCTGCAATGAAATTAGGGTGCTAGAGAAAGAATTACTAACTGTTGAGTACTAACTGTGCTATTATAGCTTATTAAATCAAGAAATGTGATTAATTCACTCAATAGCTGAGGAAGCACACATTTAGGCATCTTAAGTGACTTGGCTTAGTACTTCGATAGTAAGTAGAACTGGGGGTTTAGAATCTAACTCCAAAGCATTATGCCACATTCTCTCTCACTGACATAATTGCTGTTGCTGCTTCTAAAGAAAACGTTCAGGCTTCTACTTTCTGAACATACCATGTGCTTTCCCCCTCCTTAGCTTTTGCTATTTTTCTCTTTCTGATAGGCTGTACCATCAACTGTTACTCCACAGCCTTATTTAAAGTCACCTTAGTTTCTGCCTGTTTTACAGAATTAATTGTTTCTTTAAATTCCTGTGACACATATAGATACATTAGGGGTTGCAAACTCAGGGGCCTATAAAGACAAATGCTCACAGCAGGAACAAAACGGGTAATAAGTGAAGTAAACCAGAACTAAGGTGACAGGAAAATAAGGGTTATGACAGACTGACATCCTTATGGTTAATGGGATCTGTACCCTTTTCAGCTGTACCTCATTATTGCCAGATCTCCCCATTGTTTTAGGAAAAGAGTCATTTAGGTATTTCCTATGATATTTCCTGATTTTAAAAACATTGGGACAAATGGACTGCCAGCTTCTAGTCTCTGGTTTATATTATGTAATACGTTACTTGATGATTCAGTGATCATATTGTATTCACTAATAGCTTAATCTGGGGAAAATATGAGATAGTAAGTCCCTCCTGAGCTCTTTCACTTGAGTGATTTTGAGCTTTCAAGCTTTAGCAATTAGTAATATTACTAACTGCGGTAGGAAATTGGAATGGCAGATGTTTAGGGACAAATAATGATTAGTTTGGAATGTTAAATTGAAAATGAAAGTCAGAAGCTCAGTTCTATAGAGAGATGTGAAAAGTCATCAGCAATTTGGTGATAGTTGAAGCTACAGAAGTTAAAATAATCCAGAAAAAGTACATGTAATGTCGGAAGATTAATGACAGAACCATGGGGAATACAAACTTCCAGGGAACATAAGGAAAAACAAAAACAGAGGGGTTGCAGGAAGCTTGAAAGGTTCAAGCCAGTAAAGGACCAAGGAACGAAGGGAATGATGAGAAGACTGCAGAAGGACAAAGGAGGAGAAGCTTACAGATGGAACAGCAAAGAGGCCATTTACGCCTTTGCCGGAATCAGTTTCAGCAGTGAGATACATATTGATTTCAGATTATACAGTGGGCTGAAGGGTGACTGGATAAAATTTAACTGCCGAGGGGATTAGCTTCTACAGTGTATTAAGAACTTAGAAATCAATAAGAAAAAGACAGCCCTGAGGAAAAAACAAAGACATTTCATAGAAATATAAATGCTTAATGCCATTATTAATCAAGGAAATGAAAATTAAAACACAATGAGGTATCATTTTATACTCACAAGATTGGCAAAAATTAAGGAGACTGATAACATCAAATGTTAACACAAATGTGGATCAGTAGAAACTTACTATCAGTGGGAGTATGAATTTATATGGCTTAAAAAAAAGCAGTGTGGCATCGCTTCTCAGCCTTTTGGCTAACAGATCCAGTGTACTAAAAAACAATGTAGCCCTGTCTTATAAAGTTGAGCATTAATATTCCACATGTGGTATCTCATAGAGAAATTCTTGTACATGTGTAAGCCAGGAGACATGTCCAAATATATCTATAGCAACATGGGGCGGGGAGGGGCTAATTCAAAATTCTACCAAATAAAATGAGTAAATTGTGATACAGTTATATATTAGTTTATTCTCAATTTAGGGAATTAGAGCTGCATTTACAAGTAAGCCTTAGGAACAAAATAGTGAGTGGGACAAAGCATTCACAGAAGACCATATTTTTAAAAATTTACTTAACAAATGTTTATAAATCACTTATTGTGTACCTGTTCTAACTTTCCTGATATTATCGTTTAATCACACACGTAAAATATAATTTTCTAAAGCTCAAAAATAAGCAAAAGTGATATATTGAGCAGGAATACAGACATATGTCTTGAAAAAAACAAGGGAGTCTTACAATTCAGAATAGTGGTTACCTCCGGACAGGAGGGAGGGAGCATATAGATGTTGTAACAGCATTGGTGATGTAGTTCTTAGTTTATTGGTCATTCACAAATGTTTGTTTCATTGTTTGATAACATTAAATGTGTTAAAGTATAATTTTTAAAAGATAAAATGATTCTCACACAAATGTAAAATGAATACATGTCAAAGAGTCTATTTAAATCATTATGTTTATAAGGAAATCGGGAAGATATTACACCACTTCAAAGGAGAATTCAAAATACCACATATACACATAGGTGATCAAGAATGCTGACATGAATTTACAAATAGCTGCAAAACTGGTCAGCATCCACAGAGCAATGATCAGTTACATCCCACTGGATGGACTTAATTCACTGGCATTTTTATGGATCAGAATTTGTATTATTGCCAGTTTTAAACAATTTTACACAGTTGTAAAATAGCTAAAAAGATCCAAAAGGATGCACTGGAGATAAGACATCTAGTAACCTTTTTGGCCTATTTCAAAGTCTATCGCAATTTTTCCTGATTTTTTTAATTTACATATATATATTACATTACATTACATTATAAATAGAATGAAGGATTACGTAAGTAAGTATACTAGTCTGCATTTTTCTTTCAAGGCGTTTGTTGGAGGGATAGGGGCAAAGGTCTATCTTGAGGGGATCAGATTTGAAGGAAGGCTTGCTGTGACTTGTTCTCTTAAGTATAGGAGATTTATGTACGTGCATGGGCTCTGAGAACGGAACCAGGAGGGTGAGCGATAGTGGAAGCAACAGCGGATTTTTATAGGAGGCAGAGAGATACATTCAAAGTCACGGTTTAGATTTGGAAAAAAGAAAGGAGTTCTTCTTCCTCTAGATTGGGGGACAAGGAAAGGAGCTGTAGAGTGATTTGAAGTCATAACAAACCAAGTTGAGAGTCTCTAAAGAAGAAGAAGTATTTGTGATAGGTGGCGTAAGAGTACTGTTCTTAAGTAAAAGGATTGCCATGCCGACCTGTCACATTATATTTAGCATCCATTGTCGAAACACTGCTAGATTTTCATATTCATAGAGTGCAACCTCCTTAAATGAGTTTATAGCCTTGAACAGATAAGATATAAATATGAGAAGGTTTAAATAAAGAGATTATAAAGTCATAAAAATTACCAAGTGAATGGTATATATACTGTATGAGTTTACAATAGAGTATAATAAAAGAGAAAAGAAACTTGGGGTCTGAGTACATATATACTCTGAGATCCAGCTCTCTCACTGATAGCTCACAAGGCATTAGACACCTCCTTTGGTGTCTTTGGACCTCAGATTCTTCATCTATAAAAAGAGGAGGTTGGACTAGACAGTTCCTAATTTCCTTTTTTGGAATTGGAAAGCTAAAGAACGTCGCCACTGACCTGGATATAAGGTACAATTTAGGTGGGCAGAGATGAGCCTAGGAAACATTCAAGATGGAAGAAGTGGCAGGAGAAAAAGCAGGGCTTATTTGGAAGCAGTGGGTCTATCATTTTGGTTGTATTTACCCTAAGAATTCATGAACATTCAGTAATGAGGTGATGTAGTAAAGTAGCAAAGTGTATTTTTCTCTCCAACTGTCGTTGTCTTATATACTTTACATGAAGTATTTTCAAGTAAGTGACCTTGCATATCCAGAACTGGTGCAACCGCATTATTTGAGGGGATGTGTTATTTTTGTTGGAAATGGGGGGAGGGCAGAAGAGTTAACTTCAATTTGTAGTCACATGAACTGTTTCAGAAAGCCAACTGTTAATCTTTAAAATAAGACATTTCTTTCAGAATGAGATAATTTTCAAATGCCTTGTATTAAGACTCAAGTGATAGTTATCAACTCCAGACAAAGGGGGATAGAACTAACATTAAATAACTACCCCATACCAGGTACTGCCTAGACTGGCTGGCTAACGTAACTTCCGGCTATACCGCAGCTTGGAAAATATGGTACTGGGGGTACAGACATAAAAACTGAGGTTCAGCTAAAATAAATGTCTCCATTATGCACAGCGAGGCCGAGACAGAGGCAGGGGCAGTTCGAGAGCTCAGCTTCTTTCCATTAGGTCCCGTAGGGGCTAGGGTTTCCACCACCAACCCTAAACCCTACTGTAAAATGGTATCAAGATATTTACAAAAAGCATATATTATTCACATCTGACTCCAGCTCCACGGAAATCTGGGCCTCAGTGGTCATGTTTTTACAAGGCTGCAATGTATTAAAAACAGTCCATTCTGAATATGGCAGGTACTGAAATACAGCTGTAAGCTGGCTTCCCCTCCCCCTTTCCCTTTGTCATACTCCTCCAAGCTACAAGTAGGAAAACATTCATTTATCTGATTTCATTTCAGGTATCTATTTGTCAGATTTAACATACATTGATTCAGCATATCCGTCAACTGGCAGCATTCTAGAAAATGAGCAAAGATCCAACTTGATGAATAACATCCTTCGAATAATTTCTGATTTACAGCAGTCCTGTGAATATGGTAAGTTCTGGGGGGATCATGCTAAGCCAGTCATGCCGTGAGTGCTGATTCCTAACACACAGCAGGGACCATCTTAACATAAAAAAAAAATGGTTGTTTTATTTCACTGTTTAATATTTAGCATCCTCTTTAAGATCTCGCTTTTAAGGAATTGAAGTATTTCATATTTAAAATTTTAAGTTTTATCTTTTGCTTTTCTGCTATTTTTTAACATCTTTGTTAATATAATTTACAAAACTATTTTCTACTCATCTCATTTGATCTCCCTGAGCAATTATGTAAATAGTTCTTATATTTTTCAATTAGGAAAGGAGCTAAGACCCTTTAGCCTAGTAACAATTGACTAGCTTTCTTCAGCCTAATATTGAGTAAATAACCAATTTTTATCCATGATGTATTCTATGGAAACAAATATAAAGAGCTTACACAAGCCCAAATGATTATAAGTAGGTTTTTAAGAATGTTTTAAAATGTTTGGATGCTTTCAATTTGATAGGGAATAAAGATAGGCTACTGTTATATAATTTTTATAATATTAAAAATAGTGAGTTTAGATTATCAGATTTATTTAAAATAAATTTGTCTTAAAGCTAACTTAAGTGCATTTATGCTTTTAGGAAAACCTCAAAAACACCTGAAAAGTGTGGGGAATAGGGAATCACTGAATGTTAAAATCAAATACTCTCATATTTTGTCCTCTTCTCAATATTTTTCAACAAAACACCAAATTGTAATCTTATTTGAAATTCCTAAGTAGAGAAGGAAAAATTACATTTACCAATGGGAGTCAGGCTTCTTTAAGAAAACAAAACGAAACTGCCTCCCATCTTGCCTTCAGATGAGGTTTGAACATAAGTCACAATGAAGTCTGATGTTTTCTATGAAATTTTTCAAATATGTAGGACTTTGTGATGGAGCTGTTTGGCTATTGTTTGTTTGTTTGTTTGTTTGTTTGTTTGTTTCATCTATACAAATAGCATGCATGCAACTGTAATTCTCTAAATTACCTTCAGTTTACATTAAATTATATTTACCTCACTAATGTCTCCTCCTAGAGTTAATTTAAATTTTGGTGCCATCTGGCTTTAATTTACCTTTAAATATATTTTTCTCAGCTTAATTTTTAAAATTCTGGTTAAGATATACTTTGTCAGATAATTAATTATTTATCATATTTTGCCTAGATATCCCCATGTTGCCTCATGTCCAAAAATACCTGAACTCTGTTCAGTATATAGAAGAACTACAAAAGTTTGTGGAAGATGATAATTACAAGTAGGTTGGAATTTCACAAGTGGTTTGTATAAATTTGCCTGTTCTCTACCCTCTCATCCCCACGTATTTAAAACATCTAAATGCTACATCATATCATGCAAATGCCTCATCCAGTGGGACCTTTACAATGGTAAAGGTATTCACATGTATGTTTTTTAATCACTTGCATGATTGAGTCAATATACAAATACCTCATCTGTTCTTTTATTAAAAAGTATTTCATCTTCAGTTGTTGAGAGCTAGGTGTGATAGTTCTGGTTTAAATTTCTTCCTTTCTCTCTATAATCAAGCATTGATCTTTATGGAAATTTATCTTTTAATAGACTGAAAAATAAACAGTTTACAAATAGAAAAATTGCTTCTTTTTTAATGGTAATTTTTGACACATCTTTGAACTTGTTTTCAATTGATTTTGTGGTTTGAAAGAATATTAACCTTCCTTGCCTTTGGGTTAGAGACTGTTTGGTGTAGCACCACACTTACCCTTTTATTTATTACAGAAAGTCCTGTGTTAAAGATTTTAAAAATCATTTTTAAAATAGCTGCTGTTCATTTCCTTCTTGTTACCATCCACTGTAGTGTCCAAGGTGGGAGGGGATTTTGACTTATTAACGCTTTTCGTTTATCAGTGGTATGTTATACGTCATAACTGCCAGCTTTTTTTCCAAAGATGAGAGGGAGGATAAAGAGCTTATTTCTCTTGAGGCTTCTCGTTTTTCTTTTAGCTTCATTCGTTAATTTAAAAGTCATTTTTTTTGTTTAGCTTTATTATGCCAGTTATTCCCAAGCTTTCAAATTTAATTTTGTGTCTTCCGTAAATACTTTTTTCCAATAAAAGGTCATACTTTGAAAATTTATCAAAATGAATGACTAGGTTATTTTTCAATATAATGCAGTATATAAAACTTTTTCATCTCATATCATAGTGATTATCAACTTCCTTGTTTCATTAAGTTTCAACAATTTTTAAAAGAATTCTGCAGAACACAATATTAGTAAAAGGCTAGAATTCTGGTTAAACCTAGAAATGACTTTTCTTCAAATATTAAATATATTAAGAAGCTCTGGATATATGCTTTAATGTATCTAAAGTTGTATTAATGTTTGTAAACACCTTTATTGCCATCTCTTCCCCCACACATTACCACCTTATATTTCTATTTCTATTTTTATTTTACAGAAAAGATTTTACATGGTAATTCTTTTGAAAATGTACATTGTCTTTGGGTCAGCTTTTTAAGGCCAGAGTTGTTTTACAAATCTGTTGTTGCCCTACGTTGTAATCTTCTTGAGATAGATGATCTGTATCTTATATTTATCACTATTTCTTCCATCTCTCTAATTACTGAATAGCACAAAACACTTATGTTTTGTCTAGTGAGGTACAGAAGATTTATCTTAAAACTCAAAGTATGAGTAAGTAGCTATTAAAAATTTCTGACTCAAGAAACTTATTGGATTTAAAAAAAGTTCAAGTTTACCTATTCAATAGAAGTGAAATCTAAGAAATTATTGTACAGTTATAGAGGATGGTAAATTTTTATTGACTACCATCAAAGTATAATAAAGTGTTTACTTAAAGCTACTTTTTATTTTGCTAAAAGGATAAAGTTAGCCATTTAAGCCATTAAGTAGTTCTAACTTTCTACATAAACTTGACATATAAGATACTTTCATTTTTATAGGAAAGCTTATGCTATTATATTGACTTTTATTTTCATGAGTAGCTATACCCAGAGCAGCCTTCCCATTATACTCATTTAACAAATATTTATTAAGCTTTGGTTACAGGCGAGTTATTGTGCTAGTTGCTGGGATTACAAAAATAAGGTCTTGTTTTTGCCCTTAAGAAGCCCAGTCTAATGCAAAACACGTCCACAAAACAGGTGATTACAAAACAATTCAAACAGTACTGTAATAGAGATATACCCAGGATGCTTGGGAACACAGATAAGGGGAGATCTGACTCAGGTTAAGTGGGCAGAGTGAGGAGAAAAGAAACATGAACAGCTTCAGGAGGTCACCCGAGACTGAATTTTAGAAGTGAGTAGGAATTAGCTCCGCATGAAGAGTGATGAAAGGTGTTCCCAGAGATGGAACGATGGAAGGAATAGGGTGGGAAATAGTGTGTTTTTTCGGGACTGCATGTCACTTGGTGGTGTCGGTTAGAAAAAAATGGTTTTCATAATGAAAGAAATTGTTTCAAATGGTATTTATCTAAAAGCCTCTGTTTGGGGCAGTTTCATCTATAGAGGCAGCTAGTATAGATATTACACATTATATGCATGTGATTTTATCAAGATGAGATTCTTCTGAAGTCATTTCATTTTATTACTGATTGTAATATCTTTTCTCAGTGAGTCAGCATCACAGTTATTATACAGTGTTTTGAGGGTGATACAGGCAGCTGACCCTCTGGCTGGCCTTCACTGCTGTGCTTTTGAAGATACTTCTGCTGTTTCTACTGCTGTCAATTATCAGCTGCTACTGATGCACTGGGATTCGCCCCTCGTCTCCTTTCTGTTTCTTCTCTTTTGGTTCTGTGTTAGGAAATGAGCGTTATTTTGTCTGTATTCCACCTACTAGCCTGTGTGTTTCAGAAAGGCGGGACACCATGTCTGCTGTGGTCTCGTATATTCCAGTGCTGAGAGCACAGAGCCCAACACAAAACAGGTGTTCAGTAACTATCAAGTGAACGAGTTCAGTCTAGTCTGTAGCCCAAATGATTAAACTGCTCTGTAAAAAGAAAAAGAGCAGAGTCCTGGTTAATTATACATCTTTTCAATACATGCATTTTATACTGTCAAATAATTAGAATATAGTTGTATATAATTTCCTCTTAGGTTACCAGAGAAATCGTAAGTTTATAGCCTATAATAGATTTATCATTATGAATGTCACTTGTATTATGCAATTGCATGAAAAAATTCCAGTTGGCAGAATGCTAAAACATAAAATGCTTTTATTAATTTTGAGACAAATGCTTAGTAATAACAGCCTTTGTAGACTACACCAAAATATTCTCTACAATCACATTAGTATCGTATTTCCTGAAATAGTTTCCACTGATAGGAACTATAATCTCTTTTGCTATGAAACTCAAAACTCAATATATGATCCTAAATGGAACGTAAGTGCCAGCTAATAAACTTTGACTTAGGACAGAGATTTACCAGGAATTTTACAAACAACCTTTTTATTTGTATAGATCTTTCTTCTGATAAGTTGGATTGGTTGTTTTTTGGATGTTTAGTTTTAAATAAGGTGTTTCTTAAACTTCCAGTGCTATAGAAGGCTTTAGCCCATCCAGGAAAGATTCTAGAAAGAATGTGCATAATATATTTAATAATATATGTAAAAGCTCCTCAATTTAAGTGTTAGTTATCAATATAACTTCATTCAAGTTAAATCACCTTTTAGTCATTCATCAAATATCTTTAGAAGTGTTTGAATTGTTGGGCAATGTTGGGGTAGTTTGGGGAGATTTTTCTGTTTTTAAATATGACTTTTTAATGTTTTTCCCCCCTCTCTAATGTTTCCTAGAATAGCCATAAGATCAGCTTTGTATGAAAGAGATAGGAGACTTACCTATTGAAGATTGCTCTTAAAGAAATATACATGGCTGAGATTTTTTTTTTTTTAAGATTTTATTGGGGTATTGGGGGAGGGAACAGCGTTGGGGAATCAGGGAAGGGGAACAGACAAGTTGCTGTCCTTTTGCTCTTCAGTCTAGTTGTGGAGGACGTCGCTTTACTGGCCCATGTTGGTATTATCATTGCGCCCTTCCCAGGTGAGGCAGATCGGTCGCCGGCCTCTGGATGGCCGCTCATCGTGGCTCACAGCAGCTCACAAAAGCTCCTGAAAGCGCACACCAGCTGCCAGCCAGCCCCACAGCAGCCTATGCCATTGCCGGCAACTCACGGCAGCCCAGCTCCAGGTTGAGCTGTTGTTCATCACCTTAGCTGTAGAGGGCGCAGCGTCACTGGCCCTCATGTGGGATTCGAACCGGGGCCCAGCTGCTCAGAGCTGGCATCCCAAGCCAACTCTTAACCAATGTGCCACTCAGCCGGCCCTGGCTGAGATTATTTATAAAAATGTTTTTAGTTTTGGGTAAGAAAATACATGGCTTTAATATTATTTTGTCAACTGTTAATCATTGTTTGTATTTTGTTTCTTTCTAAAATTCAGGCTCTCGTTAAAGATAGAACCAGGGACAAGCACACCACGTTCTGCCGCTTCTAGGGAAGACTTAGCAGGTTAGTGCAGTTTTTTCTCATTACCAGATAATAACCTGATAACCTAATAAGAAGGGATGCACTCCAAAGTAAGCCAATGTTTAGCACTTTTTATACTGCATGCAAAAACTTATCTTTAATATTAAACTGTATCAGTTTTTTGTTTGAGTTTTTTTTTATTTTTAACTAAGAGTTGTTACTTGTAGTTTGTCGGTAATATACAAACAAATATTCCAACAAACAGAGGAAAATCAATACAACAGACAAAATAACAGATAAGTATTTATAAATTTTTTTTTTTTTTAAGAACACACTGTCCTAGGCAATGAGGGTTGATTACATAGGAAATTTCTGTGATCTCAGTGGGAAATTCTGCCAATTTGAGTAATTATTGAAGTCAATTTTATGAGTTAATTTTTTAAAACTTTACTTAATACTGGGTCAGGTACTGAAAATATTAAAAAATAGCCATGGTCCCTTAATTTACCTGTTGTGTTGTAATGGGGATATTATGTATATACCACACATAATCAAAAATATAAAACTGAAGAGAGATACTCATTATTTAAGAAATCATTGATAAGTATTTTTTTTTAATTTCAAATACAGACCTTGGGTACTAAGCTTCATATTACTGTATATTCTAAAAAGTATTTGGAGACCCATCTAAGAAGTTATGAAGGAAATAGGGAAATAAGCCATGACAGTATCCAGGGGGAAGAGTATTTCAAGCAAAGGAAAACATTTCAGTCTAAATCTCTTAAAAGTGCTTTTCTTTAAAGTGATACTTTGCTAAGTCAGACAGAGAAAGGCAGATACCATATGATTTCACTTATGTATGGAACCTAAAAAACAAAATAAACAAACAAAACAGAAACAGATTCACAGATACAGAGAACAAACTGATGGTCGCCAGATGGGAGGGGAGTTGGAGGACTGGGTGGAAAAGGTAAAGGGATTAAGCACAAATGGGCAGTTATAAAAGTAATCACAGGGATGTTAAGTACAGCACAGGGAATATAGTCAATAATATTGTAATAACTGTACGACGCTAGGTGGGTACGAGATTTATCAGGGAGGATTGTCTGACCACTATGCTGTACACCTCAAAGTAATATAATATTGAATGTCAACTGTAATTGAAAAATTAAAAAATAATTTAAAAATACTGATATTTTGCATATCTGTGTACTTTTGAGGGTTTTTTTTTATTATTCCCATAAGCTTGAAGAGTGTCAATATAGACTTAAATTCTGACTTGAATGCTGGACCTGCCCTACACATTCTTTATGTGAGAGAAAGCTGAAAGTAAGAGTCAAGAGGCCACGCGTACAACTAAATGAGCTCTGAACTAGGACTCGGAGCCCTGAGTGTTCAGTCCAGGTTTTATCTGTGGTGTGAGACCCTCAGCCCATCTCTTCTGATTCGGCTTCTTCCTTTGTAAATGGGTATCTTTATACTGCCTAGTTAGTGCAAGTCAGAGAGATAGAAGTCAGTGGATTTTGTGTTTTGGGATTTTGTGTTTTAAGACTCAGAAAATAAATATTTCTAATGTTCAGTCAATTAAATGGAATTAACATATTAATATTATCTTAAAATTTAAACCATTTCAAAACATATTTTATGTACAGGAATTAAAAATAAAAGTCTTTTGAAAATATTTGAAAATTTCTCTCCCTCGCTCTCTTTTTAAATTGACCCATTAGGTCCTGAAGTAGGAGCATCGCCACAAAGTGGCAGGAAAAGTGTGGCCGCAGAAGGAGCCTTGCTACCGCAGACGCCGCCATCTCCACGGAACCTGATTCCACATGGACATAGGAAGTGCCATAGCTTGGGCTACAAGTCAGCATTTTTAATTTTGTCTTTCAAATTTCTAAATTGTTTCTAGTTATATTTACTTTCTATTTATTTTATCAGACAAGATAGTGTCCTTGCATAGTTTTGGGGGGTTTTTTGCAATAGTCTTTTCCTGACTTAGTAAAATATCTTAGACCGCTCAGCCATGCTACCCCAAGACTCAGTAAAATATCTTGTTTGCTAAAAGCATTTAGTTCTTCCTTTATCTTAATTTGGAAATGAATTTTTCCCAAGAGTGCCTTCACATTTAGGGAAGATAAATGAACATCACAGAGCATCATCATAAATACAACCAGGAAAGCAATATGCCATTTTACTATTAAATTATATATAACTTTTGTATCAAGGCAGTCATTGCTTATCTTAACTAAAATAAGTCACCATAAATTAAGCTTTATAAAAATTATTCATTTCATTACTTAAATATAAAGAATGGGAAAATGATTTTTTGTTGTTGTTTAATTTCACCTATTTGGCAAGATTGTTTTCTCAAAACAGGGCCCATAGATCACCTTTGCCATGATTTTTGTGAAAATTTAATACCTATTTTCCAAAAGTGAATGTGAAAACAATTTTTTAGTGGATCTGAGAGTCAAGATATAATTAAAGTATTCTCTGTTACATAGGTAGATATGGCCTGGTTTCCTAAAAACTTGTCCCTAAACTGTCAGTTTGAGGGTTTTATGGTAATGCCTATGTGTTCATTAGTATGCGAGTTCAGAAGTAAGTATAGGATAGAAGGTAAATCATTTATATCCTGAACCTTTATATAAGAATATCTTTTATATCCTGAGTTAGTAACAGTAATAAAAGATGAAAAATTTCTCTTTGTTTCCAGTTTCATTCATAAAATGAACACAGCAGAGTTTAAGAGTGCAACATTCCCAAATGCAGGGCCAAGGCATCTATTAGACGACAGCGTCATGGAGCCCCATGCACCATCTCGAGGCCAAGCTGAGAGTTCTACTCTTTCTAGTGGAATATCAATAGGTAAGAAATATTTCTCGGAGAGGGTTCCAACTTATGTAAAATGAGATTTTTAGCAAAACTCAGCTTGAAAAATGTCCTTAACCTTACTACAAATAGAGAAAATGTGATAAAAGGCAAAGTCGCAATTAAATATAGGATCATCTTGCTATTGTAGTACTGAAGTTAATAATTCATAATGGTTTAAAAAATGCTTGGTGTTCTTGATTCCAAAAGGGGAGACATTTGAGGAATGGTGGGAAAAGAACATGGCTGGTTGAATCAGTTCCTGCGTGCAGCTTGGATGTGGGAATGAAGGAAAGGGCAGAGTCAGGTATGACTCCCAATTTCTGTGGGCCAAGTAGCTAGTTTAGATGGTGGTGCTATTACCAAGGTAGAGAAGACCAGAAGAGCAATCATTTGTAGGTGGTGAGGTATTTGTGAAGGATGACTAGGTTTGGGGAATTAAGAATTCTGTTTTGGACACATTTGGTCCATATGGAGTTGTCAGATAGGTAACTGATTGTGTGAATTTGAAGCTCAGTAGGGTAACATCAGATCTGTAGATACAAGTGTAAGAGTTAGCATATTTATAGTATTTCAAGCCCTGGGACTGGTTGAGGTCACCTAGGGAGAGAGTGTAAATAAATAAAGACATTCTAACATTTAGAGACCTGGTTGTTGTTGTTGTTGTTGTTGTTGTTGTTGTTTTACAAAAGGATGGGCCAATGAAGTAGGGGGAAAAAAACGGGGGATGGTATCACCAAAGCCCAATAGAGGAAGTGTTTCCAGGAGGCGGGAAGTATTGAATGTGTCAATATCAAATGCAAAAAAGAGAAGATGAGAATGGGAATTAATCAGTGGATTTTTCAAGATAAAAGTCACTGGTGACCTTGACTAGAGTTGCTTCATAAAATAGTCGGACAAAGCTTGATTGGAGGAGACCGGAGAGTGAGAGGTGAGGAAAGACAGAGCCCCTCTGAAGAGGAGCAGGAGTAGAGACCATCCTGGACAGGGATGTGAGATTGAGCGAGAAACTGATTTTCTTTTTTTTTTTTAAGATTTTATTGGGGCATTGGGGGAGGGGAACAGACAAATTGCTGTCCTTTTGTTCTTCAGTCTAGTTGTGAAGGACATTGCTTCACTGGCCCATGTTGGTATTATCATTGTGCTCTTCCCAGGAGAGGCAGATCGGTTGCAGGCCATTGGACGACTGCTCACAATGGTTCACGGCAGCTCACGGCAGCCCAGCTCCAGGCCAAGCTGTTGTTCACCATCTTAGCTGTAGAGGGCGCAGTGTTACTGGCCCTCATGTGGGATTCGAACCGGGGCCCGGCTGCTCAGAGCTGGTGTCCCAAGCCAACTCTTAACCAACATGCCACTCAGCCTGCCCAGGAATTGATTTTCATTCCCTAATTTTATTTATCTTAGGAATCTTCTAGATGACCATTATTTCTTTTGATAATTAGAAACTCTCCGTGCAATGCTATTTTTACTTTTAAAAAGCAGCAAAGGAGGAAAATGTTCTCTTCTATTATTAAGTGCCAGGTTGCTCAAGGGCTAAGCCTATTGTTAAGATGATTGTCTCAATTTTGATAAACTGTCAATAGAAAGAAATGCAGTTCATTTTCTTGAACATAGAGACTTCATTAACCCTTGAGAGTTCCATACCCTGGAAATGAAATTGCTTTAGAGCTTTCCAACACCGTTCAGCAGTTTTTTATTCCTACATTCCCCTTTTCATAAATGCAGATGATTAAATGATGACAAAATATACAAAATAGAAGACAAGTTGGCCACCTGAAATACTTCTTTATTAATGCTGTAAGTTGCCTATATACAAATACCAATCTCAATCTGGAAAATAATGCACAAAATAATTTATAGAAAGAGAAAGGAAGAAATTTTCAGCTAAAAACTTGTTGCACTTATACAATCCTGCATGTCACTTAAAGCAAAAATTAATAATTTTTAAAATTACAGCTCTAGTGTGTGTGTATGTATGTGTGTGGGGGGGGGTGTATATAAAATATTTGACTTTTTTCTGTAAGTATTATAATGATAATACATTACATTCTAGTTTATTATTTGTGGCTTTTACTTTTCATAGATGTTCTTTTGGTTGCAAGATAAGTTATCTAATTATTTCATTCAGTTACAGTTAGTGTCTCAGTTTGGAGACTTTTCTCTTAGAACAGGAAGAGTCTAATTTAATTTTTGCCTTTGTGTTTATTTTTTAATTACCCTATGACTCTTATGTAGATAAACAGTGAAGATTGTTACATCCTTATATGTGAATTAAGAACATGAGACATAGGCATTACCTCCTAGGGTTTTTGTTTCAAAGCTTTAACATTCTGAAAAGAAAGTATGTCTATAACCACAAATGGTAGGTGTTAATACACACACACACACACACACACACAAATTCATAATCGCAAAAGGGTGTCTTCATTAGTTGTAAGTTTTATATACTGTATTAATCTATACTACAGAAGCTTGAAAAAGTACTCTGGAGAAATTAGCCAATGCTAGGACAACGGCTACTACCATTATCTAATGTGGTCTAGACGGCCTAAGTAACCTGCGGTAGTCTTGCTTAGCTACGGAAGACATGTCCACTGTGAACTCTATGCTTCTGAAAAAGCTTGCATTGTCTACAAATAAGTCCTTTGTAGACATTATGCTTAAACTATGCCTAATTTAATTAAATTATGCTTAATTATGCTAATTATGTTTAAATTGTTCGTCTTTACCACATAATGCTACAGATCAAAAAGTCATCTACAAGACCCACCAACAGATTAACTCCAATTTCTTTTCTGAACCACACAACCAGCTGATTATTTCAATGGCAGTTTATTCAGCTCTGACAAGGGTGGTGCATAGCTAGGGCCATTCTAAATACATAGAAGAGGTGTTAATTTATCACATGTAATGGGTACCTTATAGCGTTAGAGTCTTGTGGTGCACTGGTTGTAAAAGTCAGATAGATAATTCAACTTGATACATAAGGGACATATTAATCATCACTTTTATTGAGAGCCAGAATTATCTGTAAAATAACTTTTAAATCAATCTAAGCTGTTTTGGACTCTCCATATTCATTCCCCTAAGTTTTTTCTTTAGCTAATTTAAAACTTTCTGTTTTAAATGATATTCTGGCCAGAGAGATACTCCGGTGCTATTGTTACAGCACCTTTTTTTTTTTTTTAATTTAAGTATTCCATCCTCTTCTACCTTGCCTCTAAAGGCAAAAATGGAATTTCATTTAACTTTTTATTCTTAGGATAGTAATAGGTATTGAGAGGAATACAAAGGGAAAGAAGTATGCCATGAAACTCTAAGAATTTCATAATTATAGTGGTCTTAAATTATGACAAACCTAATAAGAAAAATTTGTGCTTATGTGCATTCTCTGATGGTAGAAAGAATGTTTATTTTCATAATGAATTTGAGTTATAAGTAGACCTGCAAAAAATGTCTTATGTTAATTTGTTATTTTAGGTAGTCTTGTCAACTATATTCCAATACATTGCAAAATAAGTGTAGCAGCAATAATATTAGAAGGAAGAATTCATATGTATAAGTTCAGCAACAAATAACACCATTGTCATTTTACAAGCACAATTAGAGAAATTATTTTCTAAATAAATTCAAACTGCAATTCTGATGTTTCAAAAATAGAATAACTTTTGATTTTAGGTAGCAGTGATGGTTCTGAACTAAGCGAAGAGACCTCATGGCCTGCTTTTGAAAGGTAAGAAAAATGGTCCATTTGAATTGCTTTTAGGTTATTTTTTGTCTGTGTGCAAGTATGTGAATAATATAATTCACATGAATTCATATACGGTCATATGAATTTTAAAAGGTAATATTTATTACATGTCTCTAAGGGACTGTGTAAGCTTCCTGATGGTGGCAGAAATTGGGAGTTGATCTTTTATGTCTGGAATTGAGTGTTATCTAATAAATGTTTTATATGGTGGCTGGCTTGACACATGTATATGAATTTTAGTACACTTAAATTATAATCAGAGTCAACTTATCTATTATGTGTTGAAAAATAAAATTATTTTCTTGAGTTCTGATTGATTTAAGTGATTTAAAGCATTTAATAGAATGGTCAACTTCATTGTCTGCTACTTTGTCAAAGGCCAAAAGACTTAGTAAATATTAAATTATACAGTAAGTCAAGCAGCTTAAAGTTTGAATTTAAATTGTCATTAACTCAAAGAGGCACAGAGCGCACAGATTTGTACAGAACTACTTCCTTCTCCTTTCCTTACTGCTTTAAGCTATAAAAGCCGTCGCTGGCCTGCAGCATGTCATGCTGTATTGATCTTCCAATACAAGCTGTCCTTAATAATGTAGCCAAATACTACAGATAATTATTTACTAAATGTTCATTAGGATTTTTATATTGTCTTTGGCCATTTCAGTTCTCTCATTTTTATACTTATAAGATACTTGACTCTTCACCAAAATAATTGCTCTTCTTTGTGTATAAACTAAGCAACCGAAGTTTCTAAACCATAGTGTCATTTAGATTGAATTTTGAAGGTCATATTAAAATTGATGGAATTGAAAATATTTGGTTACCTAACCTCCCTATCAGTGACTTTTTAATGGAAAACAATTAAACTATATTTGAATTGGTTAATTTCATGTTGTTTAATTGGGAAATTATGTCCTTATTCTTGATAACAGTTCATAAAGAATTCTCACCCTTATATAATTAAGATTTTACTTGTAAACCCCATATTTCAAAGTACTTTTTGCTTTATCAGTGTTCCCAAGTTTTGTTCTCTTTTGTTTGGGGGGATTCTTAACAATTTGGTTTTGCATATTATTTCTCTTCCAACTTTTACTTTCAGTCTCTTTATTTGGGTTTGCCTGAAACGGGAAAAACACAAGAGTTGCCTCTGGCAAGCTGTCTGTACTGTACCATCGTGTTGATTATAGAGTGTATTGTAATTTTTGGATAGAAAATATCGATGAGCAAAATTGTCCCTCAGATTGCTTGAGGTATGAGTGAGTAACCAGAATGGTGGTGTATTAAATAGTCTGTTCTCATCTCAGCAGGTTACTTCTGAAGACATACTTAACAGTGTTACCTTCACATCTCAAATCAATATTTTTCTTTTATGACAAATGTTTTGCTTTGGAGACATTTATAGCTAAAAAAAACTGTACTTGTGCCAAGTTTAAATCAGTGGCTCTTGGATCATTCTGAGAGCAAATTAATGCTGCCCAAAATGATGCAGACATGAAATAATAATAAGCGAATAAAGAACTAGGATTTAAAATAGATAATGAACTTGAAAATAGTACTCTGAATGTTAAACATGCCATTTTCTGTTCTTATTTCCTAAAGAAACATCAAATATGTTGCTGATTACATTGCTAAAACAATGCTTTTTGTTTTAACTATCATTTATCAACGTGCTACTTTTGGCTTTTCCCAGGCAAAGAAATATCAGTGTGTGTGTGTGTGTGTGTGTGTGTGTGTGTGTGTTTATTTCCTTTGTTAAGTATTACATGCCATTTCGGATAAATATTAATTCATACCATTTTTATCTTTATTGGCTTTATCATTTATTTCAGTTGACGTGGAAATAAAATAGTGCCTTTATTTACTCAGTTTATCTCATTAGTTTTCTTGGACTTAATGTAAAGGATAGGGAGGAAAATACAGTGTTTCAGTCACATTGTTATTTTAAGATTACAGGCCACACTGCTTTTAGGTGTCTTCATAGGGACATATAATAAAAATGAATTATTTATATGAATCCAGGTGTCATGTTTAAATTAGAATCCAAGAACTGGAATAGACAACTAAAGGACTTTTGAACTATTTTTCAGGTTTTGATAATATCTGGTTATAAACAGCTCTTTAATTATTTTAGCAGATTTGTGACAGTGAATGTATATATATAAATGTATGATATGTACTAAGCATCTATAATGATCCAGTGTCAATAGTAAAAGAAAAACTTTTGAAATCTGTGCTGCATGCTTTAAAAAATAAAGAGAAACAATCACATACAAACCTTTTGTAAGATTTGGAAAGCTGTATTACACAAAGAAATTATACTGTTCTAGGTATTGATGATTATGTGAGTAAAAGTATATGTAATATATACAATTTATAATGGAATCCAACAGGAACAGATTATACCATTCTCTCGGCCCGGTGACACGAGTGGCACGAAATGGCTATCGAGGCCACATGAAGGCCAGCAGGTACAATTCCCCTGCATTCAGGGGCCACAGAACTCCCCTCTGGTGTTGGTGATTGGCTTACATGGGTGCGGTCTCACATTATTTCTGTTCTTTCTCAACTAATTGGTTTAAAAACTTTAAAAATGCCGAGGAAAACTTTCTTGCCAAGATTTAATCTAGAGATAAATTTGAGCTATTCTTTCTGATCCACAGAGCTGATTGCTGAAAACTTGCATCTTTATGTCACATTTTAAAAATAATTCCAAGTTTGTAGCTTTTTAATTGCACAGGTCTTTCTAATGCTGCTCGTTATTGGATGGGCAATACAAAAATCCCCCTGTTATTCAAAGGCTACAATCAAAACATTTACTTAGCTAATTAGATTTGTCTTTTGAAATAATTTTTTTTTAATACACTGCAGGCCCTGAATTCAGACTAGTCTGTTTCATTACATGATACTTGTGTATTTAAACTCATCTTCATTCAGTGGTTCATCTTGTTAAACCAGGTCTCTTTTTGCCCTGTTATCAGCTGCAGAAGAAAATAAGGGTGGTAGATTGATTTGGGGGCTGGAGGTCAGTGTAATAGGTAATCAACCAATTCATGATACAACAAAATAATCAACTTTAGAAGTGAACTTTATGTCCATTTGACGTTGTCTGATTTCCTTTTGTATAGCTCCCTGAATATAAATATTTCTAGCCTGCCTGAAATTTCTAGTGGTTTCTAGGCTATTAAGTCACTTTGAAGACATCTAAATAATCACAAAGGGATAAAATGGCAAACTTCAGTTTTCTTCGCTGTTACAGGAATTCTGCGGCTCAGTCAGGTCACCAGAGAATGACTGACAGGTTTTCATGTGTTTTAATTAACTCATGTAGAAATTATTTTTGTTTTAAATATAGGACCTTAAATCAGTTGGGGAAAGATATTTAAATGTTTGATTATTTTGTGATGGTTTTTTTAAGATCTATGAAAAGGAAACCTTGGGTTTTGGAATTATTCCTTTCTTGGAGAGCTGTTAGTCAAACACTTAATGCATTGATAGCATTTAAATGTCATTAAAATTTATTGTAGAAAGCCAGTTATTTTATATGTTGTTACTGCTTTTATTCTTTCACCTATTTTAGAATTCAGTGAATCATGGGTTTTCTTTTTCATTTTATTCTTTTTGAAGCTTTTGTTATTTTTGTTTTGAGGTTTATGTGCATAAATACTTCTAACAAATAGAACCCTCATCTTTCCTACCAGGACTTAAAGTTTCTGTTGGGGAAAAAGTTCACAGCACTGATGCAGTGTGGCATGTTAAGAAGAGAAGTCTCAAATCTTTCATTTAATCTTCACTAGAGTAAATTGCCCTATTCTTTCTAAATTACACTTGTTCAAATATGTAATAAAATGTATGTGTTTTTTAATCATCTGCTGACTTTAATAATTTTCTGATTATCTTTTGTGACAGCTTATACATTACAGATCAGTAAACCTTTATAATTGTCAGTGTCCTCTCATTCTGAATAAAATAACAAAGTTTTAAAATCAAGAATAATTACATTTCATTTAAGTAGCTCCTTGATAACTACTGTGCTCTAAAGCTCTTACATGTTTTTTTCTTCATTTCATTATTGCAGTTCTGCAGAATCAGAAGATTTGGCAGTGCATTTATATCCAGGAGCTGTTACTATTCAAGGTGTTCTCAGGAGAAAAACTTTGTTAAAAGAAGGCAAAAAGCCTACAGTAAGATGTTATCATATTTTAGCACTTCTAAAAATATGGAGTGTATATAGGACCCTAAAAAATATGAAGACAATTGAAATAAAACTGATTTACAGTACACTTGAAATAATTCAAGATATACACATTTGCCTCACCAAATGTTTTCATGTAAATTTCAGTTAAATGGTACATTTATGATGCTTAAATCAAGGCACTCTGGAACCTCTCTTTGTCCCCTAATATAGTTCTTATTCAAAATCGTTTCTCAGAGAATCTTGAAGTATATACTGATAAGAAGTGTTTTAGTAATAAGTTTAGGAAAAAGAGAAAGAAAGTAAGAGCCCTATAAATTGGAATTCAACCCATTTTGTTTTGTCAGTTCTAAGTTGTTTAACTCAGTGATGCTGTTTTGTTTTCCTGCATGAAATAGAACCCAGGTAGTAAATATCCTCCAAACCATCCATAATGATATATTTTTTTAAAAGTTGGTGGAACAAAGCTTTTCATATGTAACACAAAAGTTTGTTATTCCCCAACAACAGCAAAGTAGTTTGACAACTAAAGAAAGATTTTCTTTTCTCAAGTAATATATTTATCTAATTTAGAATAAAAGCTCTGATATATATCCACACTTAAAGTTTTTGAAGATATGAGGGCTTCTTAAAAAATAAAAATCATTTACATCTAAGGGATCTGATTTTGCTGCCCACGTTACCAGCTAATGAACTAAGGATAGCATGTCGGTTGAGGCATGTCCCCACCTCCCGGTGCCAAATGCCAGAAATAGAGCAGCGAACACAGGCCTGCCTCATGGAGATGACATTCCAATGAGGAGAAATAGAAAATAAGCCCTTAAAATAAGGTAATGGGGTGGAGAGTGATGGGGTGAGGAGAGAAGTCACCATAGCGAGGCGTCTGAGCCGCGATCTGAACGAGGAAGGTGAGCTGGCCATGCGAGGAGCTCGAAGCATTGAAAGCGGAGGAGGTGGGACAAATGACGTCAGAGAGGCCAGGGCTGCTTGATGATGGATTAGATGTGATGTATGAGAGAAAGCGCGGAAGTGAAGATAACTTCTCGGTTTGGGACTGAGCTGGGTGAACGTTGGGGACATTTACTGAAATAGAGAAAGGGAGCAGGTAGGTCTTGGCCAAGTGCAGTTTGATATGCTTATTAGATAATTAAGGGGAGGTGTCAGTTTGTCATTTTAAAGTACAGTTCAGAAGGTCAGCAGAGAGATGGTGGCCAGAGATAAACATTTGGGAGTCATTAGCACACAGATAGTATTTGAAATATGGGCCTGGATGAGATACATGGTATATGAAGAAAGTGTAGCTGGAGAAGAAAAGATGGTTAGGTTTAACTAGGGTTAGGGTTATATCGGGGAGCAGGGCAATGAGATTAAAGTGTTTGGAAGAGAGAGGGCATAGTGCTGGACCAGGCGATATAGGCTCAGTGTAAAGAAAGGAGAGGGAGGATATGGTATTGGGAGGCCGTGGCAATACTAGATAATATTAAAAAGTGGTAGGATTCTTGATGAGATCAATAATTACCTAAATGAAAGTACTGGTAGAGTGTATTAAGTGGAAGTGATAGAAATATTGGAGAGAAAGATTTCAGAGGTGAAACCCTCTAAGGGTAGGCTAAGGTGGCTGGAGTGGGGCCAAGCTAGAGATGATTGGCACTAAGAAAGGGAAGAAACTGAGATGCCAGTAGCATTGCATTAATTACTCATGTGTTTGTGCTCTGCAGGTTGCATCCTGGACAAAATATTGGGCGGCTTTGTGTGGGACACAGCTGTTTTACTATGCTGCCAAATCTCTAAAGGCTACAGAAAGAAAACATGTAAGTATTCCTCCTCTAAATTGTTAACATAATGTCATAACCTCTTTAAAGAAAGGAATCCTAATGGAAAGTAACGGTTTGGGGCTTTTTTTCTCATATTCTAATCCAGAAGTTCTTACACCTATTCCTTATCTGAGTATTGTAATGGAATTATTTTTATTTAGTAAGACCATTACAAGGAAAGTCTTGGTATAACTTCCATATTTTGACGTTTCTTTTTTGAATGCTATTTTTCCATTGCAAGTGTCAAAACTGCGCATTACAAATACGTATCTTGGCATCAAAGCCTTCCCAAACCTGGGAAGTCAGAAAGTGGCTGTAAACTGTTGCCTTTGGAGCCTTGGTTCCTAATGTATAAAATGTGAAAAATTGCAAACATCATCTAAAGATCTTTGCACCTCAATCTCTGATTGAGGGGTTTTCCCAACAGTGAAAAGGGATAATAGTTAACTGTGGTTATTACGGTACACTCTCTTGGGCTTCATGTTACTTAGAAGCCTCATAGTGCTCCTTTCTCCAAGTGAAGACTCTTTCTATAAATTTTCATTGCATGCTGTTTTGATTTTATATGCCAGTGATATATCTTTGAAGGGAAGAATAATTTTCCTTGTTGCATTAATAAAATCTCTTGAAGAGGAATTTTATTTCTAAATCATGTATTTTGTGGGGGAATTAAGTGAAGAAAGGTAAGCCACTGAAAAAGAAAAATAAGTCCTTTTACTATTTCTGAATTACCCAAATGACACTGCATGCTGTATCCTCTCAGTTCATCCCTTCAGTCACACGGAGTACATTTTTTGGTTTGAGTGAATGTGGGAAGTGCCATCGATACCATCACCTCTTTCTTTATCAGCCAGGCCCCCAGAAGCCACCATCCTGAGTTTCATGTCAGTCATTGCCTGGCTTTTCGTTAGAGTTTACCATATACGTTTCCTTAAACAACACGTTGCCTCAGCTTTTAACTGTAGCTGAATGGAATCACATAAATTCTTAAGCAATGGCTTTTTTGCCCACTGTTAAAGTTTTTTAGATGGAGTCTTCGCATTGAAGTAAAGGACAATTTTTTTTTTTATTCTGCTCAAATTGACTGTATTGACCTCATGTTAAAGAAAATTACACACATTAGTTTCACTATTTTGTAGAGTGATTGCCTCTGGTTAGTATTGCTGTACTCATAAAGAGAAAAGAAAAAGTTGGTGTAGCTTAATCAAATCCTTTGTCCTCAGATATATTAATAATTAACTGTTCACATAGCTACTTTGAGATTCTTGGCTGGATTTCACTTAGTTGATGATTACAAAGAAGTAGCTATTCAAAATAAAATGTTTTCTTCCCCCTAACTTTGATTATAAAGAATCCAAATTAGAGAATTGACAAGATAACTAAATTTGTCATCTACTGCATATGTTAAATATCTTTTTGTGTTTGATGTTGCTACTTTACTAATAACATACTATGATAGTTTGGGTTCTTAATTAAACGAGGTTTCTGATAAATCATGTATATGAAATGTTTAGAAATTAGAACATAATGGGCTGTGAGGAAATCAAATCGAGTGCCAAGGAAATGGACTGTAGTCCTCATATTTTTTGAGGCTATAGAGAAAGGTCCGTGTTTACATTTAGTGTGTATTTTAGGTCAGAAGAGATAGTGGTACAGAATAAAAGCAATGAAGGGGAAAAAATTTTTTAACTCTTTTCAAACAAAATTGAAATACAAATTGAGAGACAATATTGGCTATAAATAAGCAACAGATAAAGGTTTAAAATCTGTTCTATAAACAGAGCGCCACCTATGTCGTAGTATTCTTTCCAAAAATCTAATCTGAATCTAATCATGAGGAAACAATCAAATCCAGATGGTGGAACATTCTGCAAGATAATTGGCTTGGATTCTGAAGAACAAAATTTGACAGTGGGGTTGGGGCGAGGACGGCCTTTTTAGAGTACAGGAGTCTGAATAACCTCAACAGGTAAATGCAATGTGTGTTACCTTGGTTAAACCCTGGAGGTAGTCTTCTTTAAAAAACAATAATAAAAGTCATAATTGGGACAATTGAAGAAATTTTCATGTGGACTTTATATGATAGTATCTATTAATTTTTTTAAGATATTACATTGTGGTTATATAGGAATATATTCCTCGGAGATTCGTGTTGAAATATTTTAGGGTTCAATGTTATGATTTCTGCAGCTTGCATTTAAATGTTCAAAGAGATCAAGCAAATACAAAAGGTAGATATATGGTAGTCATTGAAGCATTTTTTCCAACTTATGTGTAGTTTCAGCCTCTTCAAAATAAAAAAACTGGAGGAGAAAAAATCACTAATGAAAACATACTTCTTCATATATGTATGTAAATGCAGAAGGAATCTGGAAGTCTACACACCTGTAGTTGTTACTCTAAAGTGTACGTTTTTTGCCTGTGAGGAGCAAAGTAGGTTTGGAAAGGTAGAGTAACTGGAGAGAGAGAAGAGGGGCTGTTATTTTGTTCTGTCTGTATTTTTTAATGTTTTAAAATGAAAAAATTCACTCTAAAATATTTTTAATGGAAGTGTATTGTGTATTCATTGTAAAAAATTTTTGCAGATATGTTTGAACCTATCACTATATGGTAATGAATGAATAACTATTGTTTGATTAGTTAAATTTTTAAAACCAAGACTGCACCTGAAAAAGAAATCTGTGACATACATAGATTCAGCAGGAGTAAAATGGAACAATAGAGAAATGGAAAAGGGAGATATATAGAAGATGAAATATAAATGGTTAATAAACATGAAAAGAATATCAACCTCACTAGTTCTTAAAAATACAGATTAAAGAAGATGTTGGCTATTAGGCAAAAATTTAAAGATTGATAATATAGCATTGGCCATGGTATGGGGAAACACAGGCTGTCATCCACTGTTGGCAGGAATTTAAATTAGTATTGTTTTTTTGTTTGTTTGTTTGTTTGTTTGTTTTTGTTTTTTTTTAAGATTTTTATTGGGGGAATTGGGGGAATGGGAACAGTGCTGGGGAATTGGGGGAAGGGGAACAGACAAGTTGCTGTCGTCTTGTTCTTCAATCTAGTTGTGGAGGATGTTGCTTCACTGGCCCAAGTTGGCACCATCATTGCGCTCTTCTCTGGCGAGGCAGATCAGTCGCCGGCTTCTGGACGGCCGCTCACTGCAGCTGCTGGCCGCTCACGCTGGCTGCTGGCCACACACGGTAGCCCATGGCAACCCACTGCCACAGGGGCTGCAGCCTACGCCGTCTCTGGCGACTCATGGCAGCCCAGCTCCAGGCTGAGCTGTCGTTCAGCATCTTAGCTGTGGAGGGCAGTGTCACTGGCCCTCATATGTGGGATCCGAACCGGGGCCCTCTGGCATCCCAAGCAATCTCAACCAATGCGCCACTCGGCCGGCCCTAAATTAGTATTGTTTTTGTGATGGGCAGCCTGGCTAGTTCTGGTCCTTTGCTCTTGCATACAAATTTTAGAATCAGCTTCTCAAGTTCCACATAAAACTCTACTGGAATTTTTATTGGAATGACACAATCTATAGCTCAATTTAGGTAACTGAAATCCTTACAACATTTAATCTTTTTCTTCATCTCAGTATTTCTCCATTAATTTAGGTCTTCTTGAATGTCTTTTAACTGTTATACTTTACAGTATGTCTTTTGTTACATGTATTTCTAGATACCTTTCTTATAAATGACTTTTGTATGTCTGGTGCACATAATTACAGTTGATTTTCATAACGATCTTTTCCAAGCATTCTTGCTAGTGTTCCTTATTAGTGTGGTAGATTTGGGTGGATTTTCAGGGTAGATAATACCATCTGTGAGTAATGGCAGTTTTATTTCTTCCACCCTCTTTTATTTCTTTTTCGTTACCTTATTGAACTGACTATGTCATCCAATTCAATTGAATAAAGGTAGCAGTGGTGGGCATCCTTATCTTAATACTGATTATGAAATGTTTTTACCATTTTACCCTTAAGTATTTGTGTTGCAGGGGATTTTTTTATTTGTGTGTTTGTTTTTTCCCTCCTGCTTTGGTTTGGGTTTGTGTGTTTTCTTCTTTGTTTGGTAGATACTGTTACTGAATTAGGATGTTCCCTTCTATTCCTAGTCTATCACAAATATGCATTAGATTTTAGCAAATGCTTTTATTTTACATCACCTGAGTTTATCATATTTTTTACTTTCTTAATCTGGTAATTTGGTGATTTACTTTAATCATTCTAAATTTGAACTAACCATACGTTCTTGAAATAAACCCAACTTAGGGGTATTAATTGACTTCTAACATTAAACCAACCTCACATTCCTGGGATAAATCCAGTTTGGTCATCATGTATCAGCTTTTTTATACACTGTTAGACTCAGGTTGCCAATATTTTATTCAATGTTTATTTTTTTATTTTGTTCATGCATGAGACTAACCTAACTTTCTTCTTTATAACAGCCATTTTTTCATTACTAAAGTGTAACTTAAGAAATGTAACAAGCGTGCTAACAATTTTTTTTTTAGAAATACAAATAAGAATATATTATTAAGAATTGTCTAATATCACTGCTGGTTTATTAAATCATCAGGTTTAAGATAAAACTCCTGTTATATTGTACACCTTAAACTTATACAGTGTTATATGTCAATTATATTTCCATAAAGCTGAGGGGGGGAAAAGTAACACCTCTATTAAAGTGCAAGCATGTTTCCTACAAGAAAAGATGAGAGGGAGGGGTAGCACAGTAACAGACCAGACAACACAGATGAATCTGTCAGTCCATTAACAGATCATGCTCTTTGGAAACACACCAGGACAGTTAGGTGCTGGCGAAGAGTTGAAACTGAGGAAGATCTGGAAAGCAGGAGGCTATCAAAAGAGGGCATGCCTAGATGGGATCATATGAAAGGCCCCGAGCAGACCTGACCAGCGTGAAGTCACAAGTCTCATCTCACTAGCAGAACCTGAAAATACGCTCTTCGACACTTAAATTTTGCTTAAGATGAGCCATAAAGATAACCATTAATTATCTTTTTATCTCTCAGTTCAAATCAACATCCAATAAGAATGTATCTGTGGTAGGATGGATGGTGATGATGGCTGATGACCCACATCATCCAGATCTCTTCCTGCTGACGGACTCGGAGAAAGGTGAACCATTACAGTAGCTAAGAGGCTGAGGTGCTGTGTGTACATAATTTTTGATAAGCCCAAACCTAGTTGAACTGAATTACTCAACCAGGGGAAGGTTTGTGTAGTTTTATCCCTTGGGAAATACTTCTGTCACATAATGTATAGTAATGATACTAATATTTTCAATGTCAATTAATGTCTATTGTTTATTTAATAAGCTTATTTAACAAGCTTATTTTCTTTGCTGCAGGAGCATAAGCTTGAAATTAAAAGCCCAAGTAATCCCTTAGAGAGCTAATAGCCAGGAAGGGCAGGAGGGAATTTGAGACTCTATAAGCTGCTGTGACTTTAAAATCTCAGAGATTTGCCATCTATGCAGTACCCCTTTGTTTATACCCTAAATTACATTGTTATTCTTAAGTTATGAACGTGGTGGAGGTTTTCCTTTGAATGACTTTTATTCCATTACTTTGAATTAAATTAATTGCTTACTTAAAGCGGTTTCCAAGGAAGTATAATTTTGATTATAATACTTTGCTTATAAAATATGGAGACATTTATGAATAAAACTGTTGGCTAGTGACCTTAGGAGGTTTATTAAGTGGATGAAAGAAGTTGGAGGGTGGGCTGTGTGGAACCATCACACCCCCTGCCTGCGCCTGTAGGGGCGCCTCAGGTGGTCACTAGAGTAGAGCCCAGTGCGACCGCCACTCTTCCCTCCAAACCACTGCCAGCTGCTGATAAGCACCACAGAGGACGCCAGAAAGGAAATTCCTTCACATCTGCCCAGAGCCTCCCGCTCTAGCAGCTCACAATGGAAATATTATATTACCTTATATTGACTGTACAATTACATTTTGACCTATTCAGAATGTATTTTATATCAACAGATATTCTGCTTCTAGGATGATACGGTGTAAGTAAAAACTAAGCAAAATATGTTGAATATAGACATTAACACTTGTGGCCTGCTTAATTGTAGAAGTGTCTTCTGTTTATGTTAATCTAATGTCTTCATCTAAGTTCAGCCAGCAAAACAGTATTATGTGAATAATTAAGCATTTGATGAAAAAAAAACTTGCTTCTAAAAGTGAAAAAGTTCTTTAAGTGTTAAAATCTCAAAGAAAAGCTGTATAATGCCTAAATATAGATCAGGCTTCTGGGCCGTTGAATGCAGTTATACAGGCAAATAGAAGTTGGTAAAAACTGGGGAATAAAAAAGAACTTAGGTCAATGAAAAAAGGGACTAAAGCTCAACTTAGGGCAGTCTATAGTACGTGAATCCTTTCTTTTCTCAGTTTATTACCTTAATACACATAATTCGTAAAAATCCTTATTGTTTGTCCACCTTGAATTAGTATCAACATAAGGTCTACTAAATACACACAACACAGGTGACTTTCCAATTATCTAAAACAGAAAAAGGTGCCTCATCAGATTTTCCCAGAAAGCCCTCTTTTAGAAAGAGGTAACTAAAAACTAAAAGCATAGCTGGTATTGAGGTTGGCTGATTGATCCTTAAATAGTTAATGTCTAAGTGTTAAACACGCTAAAGCATTTTGGCCTGTAAAAACTTCATATTAACATCTAATAGTTAGATCATCTAAGTAGTATTGAGAACCAATATTCTGCACTGTTGCCCACACACACAAACCTAGAGAACCCAAACAATTTTATTTAGATATACTTTCCTCCAAAGAACATTTAAAGAGACAAAAGTACTTCTCTTCCAATTCATAATCAGCAAAACAGTGGCTTTCTACATAAATGATGTCATGTAAACGTAGCACAGAGAACTCTATTTGTATTGGAAAATCAGGTGTTAGAGAAATAGAATCCTGAAACTGGGAACTCTAGTCATGTTTGATTTTGCTCTTTGGTAGCAGAGTTATAGTCTATGTCAGAGTCCTTAAATTTTAATTATTTTTCCCTTGTTTTTGATAATTTTAGGAAACTCATACAAGTTTCAAGCGGGCAGTAGGATGAATGCAACGCTGTGGTTTAAGCACCTGAGTGCCGCCTGCCAAAGTAACAAACAACAGGTGAGCATTCCTCTCAATCCTCAGATCGTCCATAACTCGAGCACACATTTAAAAGTGTTCCGAAGAGAAGCAGACTGACTTTCTGAATGAAGAAGGAAAGTGGTTTTGTTTTTATTCTTGTTGACAGTAGTCAACAAGACATGAAATCCACATTTTAGTGAGGAGACAGGCAATAAACAAGTAGACAAATAAAATTTCAAATAGTGAAAGCTATATAACGGAAACACAATAGAATTATGTGATATAGAGTGATGGGAGTAGAGACAACTTGAAATAAATAGGAGTGAGCGGCGAAGATCTTCCTAAGGAGATGACATTGACATGAAGGACAAGAAGGAGTGTCCACATGAAGATTAGGGCAACAGAGATCCGGTGGGAGGAACAGGAAGTGCAAAGACCCTGAAGCTGGAACTCTGCCCGTGTTGGTAGAGTATAGCGAGAGGCAAGGGTAAAAATTAGGGGGCACTTCAAATTAATAAAACTGGTTCTAATTCATCTCTATGTGTTCTGTTGACAATTTGATGAGGGTTTCTGTGGTTGCAGCGAAACACTGAAACACTTGAATTTGTTTTTATTTTACTGAAACAAAGAGGGTCTAATTCAAACGTTTTCAGCAGCAAAGGAGAGTTAATCCACAGTGTTTCTCCCAAACTGTTGCAGTTTTAAAGTTGAACCACAAATTATTTGAGCAGACAAACACAACTGCAGTTAAAAAAATTTCAATGGACTTTTTTAGACCAGTTTTTAGTTTAATATATTTGAAAATCATTGGCTTATGGTGCTGAAATACGGTAGTGTTATCAGTAGCTAATTTTGAATAATATACTATGTAAGTTTATAAAGCTTATAAAAATGTTTTTCACCCTGTGGTATCAAGACCTCAGTTCTTACCCCCTTTCGTGATACGGGAAGAATCTAAGGCTCAGAGATGCTAAGTGACCTCCACAGGGTCAGACAAGTAAAAAGTGCTGGACCTGAGATATAAACCCTCTTCATCCTTGAGGCCCATTCTTTTTAAGTATTATTGGAATGGGCTTTGTTCTCTTACACTTGTTATTTCACATGCACGTATGAAAGACTAACAGCAGTATTTGGGACCATTTTTAGCAACCTCCATGAAGGACATGAAATGCCATAGAGCAAAACCTACTCTCCTGCCCTTGTCAAGTTAGTGTCTGGGACAGAATGAAAGGAACAGACCTTGTTTTGCCTAGACTACACTTTCTAGAACTCAACTCCATGCTGTACATTTTCTTTAAATGTAGCTTAATGTATTTAGTGTCATTTTTTTTTTAATCCGATTTCAAGATTAATCTAGACACTATGCCAGCAGAGAGGCTCAATTTCTTTCACTGTATTAGTGGACCTCCCTGCTAAACAAGTCAGCCAAATGTGTATACATGGTTTTTATTTGTTTCTTTCTGTATTTTGCAAGAATCATGGTAGCAAATTTATAAATAGAAGTTACGAAATTTGAAAATTTCTAGTAGAAACTATTGGGTTGTCGGAAAAAATCATGACATATTTTTTCTATGTTTTTCGTTGCAAAAATGCATCATGACTTTTCCGACAACCCAGTAATTGACTCAAATACAACACCTTAAATCACATTCAGGGAACTCAGGAGGAAATGAAACTTACTTTATTTAAATACGGATTTCTTACAACTAGACCTGAGAATTTACACTTTTAACATAAGCACTTGAGCATTTGCATTGTATTTGATTTATATAATTCAGGTAAAAGAATTTTTCATTCCAAAGTTGACAGGTGCAGGAGATTCTTTTTATTCAGTATCTTAGGTTTTCAAAAAACGATTGCTGAAGAGTGAAAACTGTTACGCTGTTTTTAAGGGCAGAGAAATGACCATTGGCAAATGAATATCTCTACCAGCAAGCACAACTTTGGAAAACTGGCAGTAAAGGTTAAGAGCATTTGTTTAGTCCTTGACTTAAGGACTCATCAACTAATTTTTAAAAATCAAATATATTCATATTTCAAAGACTTATTCTTGAATTTCAGACTTGTAAGAAAAACAAATTAAATTTTTGATCCAGTCTATAAGCAGCAAACCGTTATATTACCTATTGATATTTCAGTCACAAAGTGTCAGATCAGAACTTACCTAACAATCAGTTTTATTATTTCATACTTACTTTCATGATTTCACAAAGAAATTTTTAGTAATGTTTGTTATAAAATTATCTGTGCTGGATTTGAAAAATTGGCATGTAGGAATTTGTTGTGATACATGTAAAGGAGAAAATTAAATGTTCACAAGCATGTCTGTCTGGAATCTCACCCTACTAGAGCCACACTTTTTATTTTCTCCTTCATTTATTCACTCAGTGAGTATCTACTGAGCCCCTTGTGCTGACAGAAAAGATGTTGCCTTAGCCCTTTCTGTCACCCGGACTTCAGTTTACTAGAAAGAGAGAGTATTAGCTCATCTCAGCGGTTTTTCTCCAAAAATATTCTGGCATGATTTACTCATTATAAATAAATGATTGCAGCACCTTATATCACATTCCTTTTTTAAAAAGACATTTTTAGGTCAGAAAGATTTTAATATTTGGGCTTACTTAAAATAACAAAGATAAGAAGTGGTGTTTTAAATACTTTTAAAATACCATCAGTTTGTAATGCTTATATTTTTTAGGTTCCTACAAACTTGATGACCTTTGAGTAAAGGCCTAAGAAAGAAGAGAGGGTGACTGCTGCTCCAAAGTGAAATCAAGGACCTGATGACAGAGCGCCAGCTGCAAGCCAGTCCTGTGCCAGAGCGCGCCCAGAGGTTCCGTCTCAGCCTTTGGAGCTCTGAACCCAAAAAGCACTAATTTCAGGGAATGAAGTGAGACATTCCCAGAGAACACACCGGAGCTGCAAAACAAACTGCCATGGACCATGCTTCTTATCTCTGAACTGACCTGTGGAAACCACTGCCTTAAAAGAATGAAAGGAAAACCAACATGAAACACCAAATAGTGTGTGTGAATCTTCTGGCGGTGCTGTGCTTGGACTAGATCATAGCTAATTTGCATTTCTTTTAACTTTGTACTAATTTTGGAGGGGGGAGTCACCTTTTTTAGATATACTGTAAAAAGGAAAAACATTTCTAATGGGTTATGTCAGGAGCTGGTTTTGCACCAAGGTGTAAAGATCCCCTAAGTAGCAGGATTCTACCAGCAGTCTACCTGAAAGGTTTGTTCAGCCTCCATTAGTCTGCAGCCTCACTCGCTTTCTCACAGAGTGTAGGAATTAGAAATGTTATAATGTGAGTCGTTGGGGTTTGTTTGGGACTTCGGGAGGGTTTTTGTTTGGTTTTGGATGAGGGAAGATATTTTTAAACGCTAAACTTCTGAAATTTAGTACTGTATGGGGAACATTACTTCCTGCCGGAGGTATAAAGGCCGAGTGTTCACATGCCAGACACTTTTTTCAAGTGGGCTCCAGAAAACATGGTTTTTTTAACTGGGTTTACGTGTAGCTTTCTATAGTAATTCATTCTGTACCACAGATCTGCCTCCTAGGGAACTGTAAGCCCAACCTAAACTTTTCTGAGATTTTTACAGTAATTATACATTTTTCAACTTAATTGGATTATCCCTTCTACCAGCCACAGGTGATTTTTATCATCAAGGTGATATATTGCTATTTCATCAGGGCATTTTCTTTTACAGTGTTAATGTGCACAATGCCAGTTTTTTTAATTTTTCATTTTCACTATTTTTGTTCAATATGAGATTCAGGATCACATTTGTTTAAAAGAGATTCCACGTATGTATGTATGTATTTTCTTAGAAGGCATACAAAATCATTTTAAAAGGAAAAAAGGTGAAAGATTGAGATTCCAGGAATTTAAAGTATCAAAGCTTTCCTTATACAACTTTCCTTTATTACAAAACTTTTTCTGAAAACTTACACATATATACACATACATATATGCATACATACATACATACATATATACAGATATTGGTCCCTACCATGAAACTATATTTTGTGAGTAGTTGACTAACCAGTTTTGTAAGAGCTCCTCTATGCAATAATGCATTTAACATCCAAGATAAATGTTGAATTATCAAAAGAAAAAGTTTGAAGATGGGATGCCTTAGAGTTTTAACAAAAACTGGCATTTGAACAAAGGCTATGTGTTGGATGTTATAAACCCATGAGACGACATAAGTTTTAGCAATGGCCCAGAATGAATTGCTTTGTGAGTGATATCTGCTAATAGGCTTCTAGTACTTCAGGCCTCACACAAAATTTCTACCATTTGGATTCTTAGAAAATGTTATGCTTTTTTTTTCCGATAAGTATTTCACTCTTGAAACTTAAATAGAAAATATTGCCCACAGAGTAATTAGCTAAGAATCTATCCAAAGGGAAGTAAAACAGCTTTTTCTGAGTGCTAAGTTTTTAAATTTAGTTTTCTGTTTCAAAGGCTATTAAGAGTTCAAATATTTTTCTCATGTAGCACAGTTAGAAATACCATTATTTCTGGTTTTGTGGAAAATGACACGGGCTGGAAAGGGCACCGTGTTGCCTATGCTGAATGATTTTTCAATTAATGACCTCCCGAGCTTAGCCCACGTTGGGTACCGAGAAAGACACCATCTGCGTAGCCAGCAGTATTACTGTGTAGACCTTGCACATCTTACTTTTGTTATGCATTTTTTTAATTCTTTAATTTGTTCCTTTCTCTTCAGAAATAAGTGTTTTTAACAGTGTATGTGCTTTTTAAAAAATGTGGATGAGAACCCTGTGGATTTTTTATTATCATTATTTTGATTGTCATAAATAAGCTAAAGTAGGTATGTGATCGGTTAACTGTATCTGTGGAGATATGCATCTGGAAGTCAGAGCCTGAAATTACAGTTTTGCCAAAGAGGGAGCTAACCTGGAAGGTGTGTTTGATCTTTTCAGTTCTAAACATTAATGGAAGCTGCACAGAGTAAGAATAGTGTTCAAATTTGGTAAATAGTCCATATATAGAATTGTGGCCTTACACTGAAACTCTTAACATAACTGCGTAGAAGTCACCATTGTTTCTGTCTTCAAATTCGTTCATTCAAAAGATTAGTCATTGCTTTTTACAATCATTTTATCATTTGAAGCAAATGGAAACCAGTGAGTGAAGTGGATTAAAATAGTGTAGGTGAATTTTTGATCTACAATTCACCAAATGATATCTAATAATAATTCAAGCAAAGAAAATATGTCACTAAAATATATTAAATATTTAGGTAGTTTATTAGTGGGCTGATGAATTTATTTCCCTTTTATTAGGCCTGTCTTTATAAATTAGTAGATTAGTGTCTCAAAAGCTTGAAATTTCCATCAATATTAAGCTCATTTGTTTCTCTCCTAACCAAGAAGAAATCTTAGACATGCTAATTTAAATTTTAGCTGGTTTATGAATAGCGTAATGACAGGCATATTATACAGCTTGGTGGAATAGTATATAATACTAGCCAAAATACAGTTTGAGACACTTCACATTTAACATTTTGTTTGAACATGGAAGTTTATTTTTCATATGGAAGTAACATGTCAGTTTTAAAATATAACTATAAAAATAACTGCATAATGACTTTACAGAGCACTATTTTTGGTTTCATGTCCCCTCTGTGTTTGGGCTCTGCTTATTTTTTCAGAGGCATTCCTTTTCTACTGTAACCTCCAAACTCAGAATTGAAAGAGAACTGATCAAACACACCTTCCCATTTCATTTTCTTCACTATGTAAATATTGTTTGTGTAAACATTACAAAAAGGGATCCAAATAGTTCAAGTTTGAGTGTTTTTTCTCCCTAGGCATGTGCTTCAATGGCAGATGTTTTTCCTGTTTGGAGAACGCCATGACTGCTGCACTGCCTTCTCTGTGGGCTGCCTTGGCATTCGATCTTTCTATGTTTCAAGAGTTGGGGTGTTTATAGATGCAAAGTTTTTATAAGTGGCTTTATCCCTCTTTCAGAAGGTTTGTAAAGAAGACCAAGGCGTACTGTTGTTATAGAAGGAAGAATGTTTACAGTCTCGAGTGTACACACTCTCTGTGTTAGTTGAAACGGGCGCCCTCTAAGAGCAGCCTAGTCTGTTGATCTCTTGGGATTACTAGAATTTACCTTGCCAAAGGACTTGAGCAGAAGTCTTCTTTTTTTTCTTTTTGTTTTAGGTTAAATCTGTAAGCTATATGCCTTTACTACTGAAAACAAAATTATAGGGTATCGTATTAATTGGAAGTCAATAATAATAATAGATTTAATTCATTAACTTTTTAAAAGAATATATCCACTGTTGACTTTCCTCCTGTTTTTTCTGAGGCACTTTCCTTGCCAACCAGTTTTTAAACCACCATATTATCTTCTTCTGCAAACAAGGGGTACCATTGTTGCTTAACAGAAGATAATCTTTAATAAAAGAAGCCCTCTGCTTCAAAGGCTTTTGAAATAATTGGATCCCTTTTTGGAAATGAAGATGAATTCGACTGTGGCCCAGTGGAATAGATGACACAAAGCAAGTGGTGAAGTTTGTCTGACTTCTTCAGTGGTCTTTTAGGGCTTGCTTTTATTTTCTCTCCTTTTGTATTATTTCTTTTAAACATAGTAAATTTATGATTTTACAGCCAGAGTGGTGTTCTGTTTTTTCTAAGCTTTGAGATACAGACACTGTTATTTAATCACATTGAGGATAATTATTTTCCATGTGAAGTCAACCTTTTCAAAATGATTGAAGTACTTTTTGCTTTTGCTCCCCTAAAAAATGGCTTGTGTCTAAAGTAACTATTTTTTTTCTATTTAGAAGATTCTAATGAAAGATACCTGTGCATGCAAACTCTTAAGGTTATTGAAAACTATTTCATTACACCGGTATCTCAAATTGCAGTGTGGGGAAAACTTGGTCAGTGCCTTACCAATTTGAAGACCAATTTTAGGGCATTGAGTATGACAATAATCATTTGCCCTCTTACTCCTTGTATTCCAGGAGTGTGTGCTATCCCTCTCTCCACCAGCTTACTCCTTCCCATAGCAGGTCTCGGAAAGTCTGTGCAGACCCCTCCCTGCTCCTCTCCTTCCGGGAGGTTAAAAATAAATCCGCCCAAATCAACCTTTAGATGAGCACTCCTAAGAACAACTTTGAAGAGCATCCATCAAGCTAAGTTTATTTTGTGGTGTTGATGTTTTTCGTTGTTTTGTTTTTTTACTCATAGACGTGATTATAAGGCCTTTCACAAAAATCTCTAAAAGAATATGATACAGCCAGAAAGAATGTTTGGGTTTTATTAAAGCAACTGAAATCTTATAATGAGAGTCCCTTTGGCCAGAAATGAGATTTAGTTTGGTTCATTCTTCTATTTAAATAAGACTCAGAACAAACTAGCACTCACTTAACCTACCAGTTACTGTTTACTTGAAAATTTTATGGCAGGAAACTGAAAACAACTCAAACATATAAATTAAAAGGAAATTAAGAGCCTGAACCAGCTTTCCCAGTAAAAGCAAAGCCTGGAAACATTTTGCTTCTCTGGGATTATTGCAAGATCTGGAACTACTGTTGTTCAACTGAGTCAAGATGCTAGTTGCAACATTTCTAAAGGGATTGTCTCTCCCAGAGTAGCAGGTAGACATAGCCACGTGAAGGGTTATCTGGTCCTTGAGTGTTAGTTTTTAGCAGAATTGAAATTTTGGTTCTAGTCATTTAGGCTGCAAAGTAGCGGAATATATAATTATAGTGCTTTAGGATTAAACTTTTTTGTTTAATACACAAGCAGAAAATTTCATAAATATTAGCTGTGCTGTAGCTATCGGTTAACAAATATTAAGTTTCCCCTGAAGATATCACCTGTTAGAACTGTTCACAAATATAGTCCAATAATTACTGACTTACTAGGTCTGACAGAGTAGCTGACAAGAATCCACCAGACTCACACGAGTTTCTACACCTTGAGTATTGACAGATTCATTGTTTCACAGCCTACTGAAGTGCGTACGTGTGGGGAGGGGATGGGGAACTCGTTCAGGGTGTAATGTAAAGGAGCTAACCGGCTGTGGGATAAATATCCAGTGATGACAATGTACAGGAAAACACAAGCCATTTTTATTCTTTATCCCAATTAACTGAGGTCCTCTAATGATGAAGCACTCGATTGCACTATGACCTCCCTGAGTGATGTGCAGCTCGGTTCCTCTCTCATTTTTTGTTTCTGTTGAATATGCAAATGTGAGTGTGAGATCTTCCGTGTGTTTGCATAAGCTAACTTAAAATGAATTTAAGTACAGTTTTCTGAAATATTTCTATTGAAATAAATTACTTAAAAATATAGGCTGTGCAGGGATACTTTATTACCACATTTACATTTTCTTCCATAACTTTGAAAGTACGTTTTATCATTAACTTGGAAATAAATCCTCTAACTTGATTTTTTTCCTCTTTCTACAATATTCGACAAGGTTTCTGTTGGGAAGGAGAAGCTTCCGTCTGGGGCAGCCTCAGTTGCTCTTCTCTATCCGAGAACACGGGTGGAATCAAGGGTATATTTCCAACTATACCTCCCCACCCAGAGTACGATATCCGAGCAGTCCCCAGAGATGCCCTCTGTGCTAACACTGTATTCTGTAGATTCTCAGACATGAATTTTTTTCATATTTTACCATTTCTGAAAACACAATCTTTCTTCCAGCCTGTAGAGCTTTAAATTGGAAGAAGCACAAAAATAAAAATACCTGCGTGGGGGCCCCTGTAAGCCATTGGCCAAGCTGTTGGCTATACCCTACCTACCGAAGACGCGCACGTGAGCTTATCTCGAGGCTCTGGGGAGGCCTCTATACAGGACTGGATGCCCACTGAGCGCACCATACAGCGAGGCCAGAAACGGGAATCAGGCATGCAGGTGAGGCCGTAAGTGGTGAGGCCATGCAGAGAGCCCCTAAGCAACCTTCGGGAACTCGTGTGTGTCTAGAGCTGAAGAATTCAGGCTTCCAACACTTGATCTCTTAGTAGCAGCACAGCCTTGAGCAGACGACTTAGTCTTCCTTCTCAAGTTTCTCATCTCTAAAGTGTGCATGCTGACAGAACCCACCTTGTAGAGCTGTGAGGCTACACTTCACTCGTACACCTAAGGCCCTAGAGCAGGGCTAGCATGCAGCAAGCATTGTCAGTGTTCAAGGTCATGTCACTGTTACAGTCGGCAGTCTACCAGTTCTGCTCCCGGGGAGTGGGATTAGGGCTGAAGGGGGAATGTTAAGTAGAACAGAAAAGGGGTCTTTGCATGGTTAAGTCATAGTGAACTGAGAAGTACCTGGGAAGCCAAATAAACAAGTGGGGCATATTCATTATAGGCCAAACTGGCAAGTCAAGAAAAACATGGAAGAAAAGCCACCTGTGAAAGAACCGCCATTATCGTTGATCATTAAGACCGGTATTTCACCCACCTGGGTGCTTGTTTGAATTGATGACTTCTGAACACCACCCCGGATTAGCTAAATCAGAATCAAGGACAGTGCCTGGTGCACACGAAAATTTGAATTTGATTTGGGCTGACTTGTCCAGAGCTCAAGCTCAACTAGAAGTAATAGTTGCTGAATTTGCTTAGTTATTGCCTCATTGTCAAAGCCAAGATTTTCATCCAGTTTTGGTTCAGAAACTTATCATCTCTAAGCCGTTCTGAAAGCAAGACAAGCAAGCTGCAGTTTTTATTGCTAGAAACGAGATTTTAAAACAGGACCCCTTTCCATCAGGTGTGGAAGAAAAACCTGGAGATTAACAATTAACAATAAATACAGTCAGTCAGTCGATGAACCTCTCACAACCAGTAAGCTCCATCTATAGTAGCCGTGTGTATGACCCGAAGCAGCCTAAAGCACATTTAACAGATGTCAACCGCACAAATATGGGCTTAGAGTTTCTATTCTGAAAGAGAGAAATGACTGGACTTTTGAGTGTGGTCTTTGGGATAGACAACCTAAGAAGAAGTCCAGGGTACGGCCTGGTGCCATCTGAGTTGAGACCTCTGGTTCTGTGATACAGGTAATAAAGTTCTATGTCTCATTCCAAATCATAATTTACAGCACTTGGGTAACATAAATTCTGTGTGAGTCCTTAGTTCTGCTAAACTAGAACGGATTCCCTTCCGAAAGGAAGACTGATTTCGGGTTTCATGGTTTTTCTTCTTTGGGAAAAGGTTTCTATTCTGTTTTCACATTGGCTAGTGAGTCCAGGGGTGCCCTTTTATCTTTGATCCAGCCAGTGGCAGGAGGCCTTCTCTGTTAAAGGGACTTCATAGGGGCCATCCTCCTGTCTGATGGTGGCTTGAGGCTCTGTTACAGTTCAAGCAAGCTTATTTTACCTACTACCCCTGAACTCAAAGAAAAGGAAAGGACAGTGAAGACAACATATCGAATAATGAGAGTGTTTCGTAACAGGGAGCTGTGTGTTTTGAAACAGCAAAGAGGACTTTTCAAGTAATGCTAACCCACAGCAATTTAGAAGCCATCAATATGTACTTTTTCCCAGAGGAAGTTTAATTTCCAGCCTAACTTAAATCATGGGAGTGGGATATCGCCATAATGTCTAACCAGAATCATCTCTTCCCCTTACTCTCCTATTTTTTAGCCTTTAACCTCTCGTGGTAGCCTTTTTTTTTTTTTTTTTGGCCAGTGTATATGTCTCACTTTTAGATTCCTACTTAATCATTTACAGTATAATTGTCTTCATATTTATTTAGATCAGTGATTCTCAGTCTTAATTACCATTTAGAATCATCCTGGGAACCTAAAAATCCCAATGCTGTGGCTGCATACCAGGCCAATTATATAAGAATCAGGGCAGGGTGGAATCCAGGCATTAAAAAAAAATTTTAAAGCTCCCCAGATGAAGTGAACGTGTAGCCAGGATTGAAAACCAGTATTTATTGTAGATTGTTGGTCTCTAAGCGCTTACAGAGACTTGAGAACAGCAGTTCTCAAACTTTTGAGGGCACCAGAAACGCCTGGAGGGCTTGTTCAGACCCCAGTTGCCAGGTCGCACCGAGTGTGTGATTCAGCGGGCCGGAGGTGGGGCCCAGAAATGTCCATTTCTAATAAGGTCCCAGGTGATTTTGATGCTCTGGTGTGCGGACCGCCCTGAGAACCCCTGGAAGTTAGAAGCTCGAAAGAAGCATCAGAGGAACCCTCCTATGTTGTGAGGTGCAGCTTCACCCCTGTAAATGTGTTGGGGTGCCACCGGGAGCCTGATCCTGTGTGCAGGGTGATGGGGGTCCAAGAAAGGAGAAGCTATCACCCCCACTCTGAGGAAGTGTGGGGTCCTGCTGAGGAGGCCAAGCGCAGGGCTGGGCAGCAACAAGGTTCCAGCTGCTGTGGTGCAGCAGAGAGGCTGGGGTGGGGTGAGGGTTAGGGTGAGGGTGGGGTGAGGGTTAGCCTTCCTCCTTTGGTCTCGGGCAGATCACCCAGCCTCCCTGCAGCTCAGTGCTGATTTCTGCAAGATTGGAGCAATAACTGTCTCAGCCGTTGGCAGCAATGCGTTTATATTTTGAAGCAACAGGAAAAAAATGGTTTGAATGACAGGTAGGGCCATTCACTCCAGTTCAGGGAGTCCCCACCACTTCCTATAGTCCTGTTACCAATTTGCTCCCCTCATTTTCATGACCAACCAGGATGTTACAGTGTGATGCCTGGAACTGAGGCTGCCATTCTATGATCAAGAGGGAAACTGGCCCGAAAGCAAAAGGTGTCCCGCAGAGCAGGAGAGAACGACAGAAAGCTGGTCTTTGGTGACTTCCTGGTGCTGCCCTAGGAGAGCCTTCCTTCCTGACTTCTTCAATATAATAATAATCTTTTTCTTTAAGCGAATAAAAAGGAAATAGAGAAAAGGGAGAAGAGAGAGAGAAAAGGGGGGTAGAAAAAAACGAAGAAGAAAGAAAAACCCAGCAGGCCACCTTAAAGACTTACGTGCACTGGTAAGGAATAATGTAGCTAGAAAAAGTACTTTAATAGAGAACTCTCTTCTGAGATTTCTGCTGGTGCCCCCAATATATTCATTTCTAAAGGTACAAGTAGGTGGTATTAATAGGCTCAAGAGAAACACAGATTCCTGGTGCAATTTTCTTATTAAAGGGAGGAAACACAGCATCCACAAGCCATAAAGATGTAACCTTCCCCCCCACCCCCCAAACCAGAGATGGGGTTGCACTGGCCAGGCCGTACCCTTGCCCACGGCCCGAATGCCCAGGACAGCCTCTGCCCTGAGCCCCGACAGCAGCAGCTCTGCTTGAAAAGGGACAGTCTGTTCCTTTACTCGGGTGGATGGAACATGGGCCCCTGCTGGTTCCTGAGTCAGTGGCAAGGCTCACAGGCCCCTTGGGGTCAGTTCCATGTCCACAGCAGGCCCTTTGCTCCCTCGGGGCCCTGGTCTCCCTTTGTTAACAGAACTGGTTGGCTTCTTCAGAGATGCTGAATTCTCATAAACTCACAACCAGATTGTTTTCCCCCTCGCTTTTGTTTGGATGTGTCTTGAAATAATTAGGCTTTTACCCTCAGACGTTTCCATTCCCCCGCGCTGGCTAACAGAGGCATCTCTCACACACCGCCCTGGGGTGACACGTGCTGCTATGGTATCCAGTCAACAGCTGCCAAACAAAGCCCAGAATCCTGCTCCACTCGAATCAAGTTCTCTTTTGTACTTGTTGTTCTGCCCTGAGCTGTGGAAATGCTGTCAAAAATATAACCCACTGCACCTCTCGGAGCTTTGGAAGAGCAGCCCCGTGGAACCATTGCCAGTGACTTCCATGTAGCATCGTAATTATCCGTTTGATGGTTAGCAAGTCGGTCTAGGAAGAAGCCTTTTATTGGAAAGTATGTATTTGGGAACATCCAGTAAAAACCACTGTGTGCCGAACCCCTGCTCTATGCCAGGTCCTGACCAACGGCTATCAGTCTCATGGGAACATGAGAAGATGCAACCAAGAAGCTGGGAACAACCAAGTCCTTGGTGAGTGACCATGACCACCTGCACGAGGCAGGCAATGTCGCGTCCAGCGGTTGAGGTCAGACAAGGGAGGTCGCTGGGAAGAAAAGACACATCTGCCTGTCCAGGGCCAACTGCCTTGCCATCAGCGGGTCCCTGCACCTGGAGCCCAAACCCACCCCAGGCAAAGATGACTATGCAGCTGGCCTCCTGCCTACCCCCTTTAGTCCTACCCTGTGTCCTCACTATGTCCCCACAGACACCATCCTATGTTCCCAATGCATTTCACAAGAACTTAGCAGTTTGAGTCATCATATAATCACTGATGCCTTGGTTATAACCTTACTCATTTTATACAGA